GTACACTGTGTTCGACTTCCTGTCACTGACGCGACGGCCGCAATCCGCCGCCGCAGGTTTTATATTATAGGATATATTTATAGGATGAGTATAAACAAAGACACATGGATATAAAAAAATGAAATAAAATAAATACAGTAACAGTTATTGAAGAGTAATTAATAATTTATGTCCAAGCACGCTTAATGAGACAAGTGAAAGAAATCACAAGATTCATCAAGAGTACTGGCCGTCATACACAAGTGGTTTAACGGTTTAAATTATCGGATTTTCGATATATCGATATTTGAACGCGGTGTATCCCCCCCACGCCATAACACGTGATTCGAGGGGAAGGATGATGACTCGTGTCTGGAATCGATTGAACTGATTCGGTGTTTGCGTCGTTTTGTTCTTGCGTTGTTCAAGTCTCGTTCGCGAGCGATTGTCGTTACGATGATTTGTTATATCGCCTAGCGTTCTCCGATAGCTGGTGGGTACATTGTATCGTTAACGATATTGTTTCTTTTTCTTTGGATGTGCTGAGATAGTATATCTGATTGAATAAAAGAGATTCTGTAAATCAGTGGTTCGCAAACTTGTTCGAATCATGCCCCACTTCAACACCTTAAAGATCGCGATGTCTCCTGACATAATACAGTGATTTCTCGATGAATGCCAGTATATGCCCCGCTCAGTAATGATGTAACACCAGTATATGCCCCGCCCTCCCAAACACCATTCAATTTTCATCCGAAAGATTTTTCGTTACAAGTAATAATGTCGAGAAAATCGTGATCAGATGAGACACCCTGCATACTGGACGATAAATATTAATTGTTGCGTCAGAACGTCGTCACACTCGACGATCCGAGAATTTCGATGCATATACAAGTATATACCGTACGATAAATATTAATTGTTCCGGCAGAATGTCGTCACTCGTGGCGTCGCGTGTACCGGAAACTTCGATCGCTCGAGCATTGGTTCGGCCATCGGGACCGATCGCTGTACACTCGCGAGTAAACTCGGCTTCCACTAGGGGAGAAAGTGACGTAGGGAAAAGGTTTCCTACCACTTGGTATTTGAGAATAATAAAAATTATGCCAAATTAACATTCAATTTAACATTTATTTCAGTACTTGAAATAAATTTACTAAGTGATAGGAGGCCCTTTCACTACGTTACTTTTTCCCCTAATGGAAGCCGAGTTTGCTCGTCGGTGTGCAATCGAGTGTCCGTCGTATACTCGTCCAGTCAATTATAGTTTACAAAGAACGCTGGGACAGATTAGCGACCGTGGTACGGCAGCATTCGTTCCATATTGCGTCTTCGATTAAATCGAAACGGAATCGCTGCTCGCGATTGGCAACCCGATCGCCCATAACCCTTTGTCCCCTCGGCCACCCGTATTTTCTGCTGCGTTTACCGATCTCCGATTCTGCTATCCATTCTGACTTCGCATTCACCGAACCAGAACGACATAGGATCGACGAAAAATATTCTTTGTTGAATAATCTCGAACCGTTTTGTGTCTGCTCGATATATTGGGTGGGTCATTATTCCATGCGAAATCGGACACTTCTTTGGAGTAGTATTTCGGATTTTGTTGAAACTTGGATATGTTATAGTATTTAGTAGTGCATGAACGTATCTCGAAGGATTTTTCAAATTTTAAAAATTGTCGATTTTACAGCTGTTCGAAATTGTAGTGTCGACCTTTATTTTAATACATTATAATGTGAACCATGTAAATTCGCCTTAAGGACCCAGTCTTTACATACACAATGCGGTCAATTCAACAAAATTTGAAAGCAAATTGAACAGTTCAATCAAAATGGTGTAATCCACACTGTTCACTTTGGTTTCGATTTTCGTCGAATACGGCCAAAGTGAACCGTGTAAATTCGCCTTAAGTGACTCAATCTCCACTTGCACACCGGCCCCACTGTTGCTAAAACTCGTTGGAGGAACCCTCAGCCCCCGAGGGTTTAATATCCGAATTTTAATATTCGGAATTCCCTTTTTTTCCCTCTTCCCTCCTTCCGTTTGGCCCGGTTTACCTACCACCGTTCCTCGTGGCGAGGAGCCTAGTTCTCGAAGTGCATACCACCTGTGTTTGCGTTGCATCGCGCGACGACGTGTCAGGTTAACCGAGAAGTAGTTGGCTTAGGGTATCTGGGTTCAGCCTAAATAGGCAGTTCAGCCTCTACATATAACCGGCTCGGATGTCGCAAGCGCTGAACCTCGAGTGCTCCGAGTCGGTGGATAAAAGAAAATACATATGTAGCCTTTGCATTTTTTTTTCCTTCCATTTTTTTTCTGCTCACGCAGAATTTTGTTTTATGTTTTGCCAGAGATACAGGGATTTATTGTTCGGTAAACGCTAGGTGATGTGTCTACTGTTTGCCTCACGATTCTACATTATTTTTGGAAATACATTCACACAGCATATGTTTAGTTGATATTTTAGGTTGCATGAATTGCAGGTTGAAGGTTCCGTCCTTCTTAGAAGGTATTCGTAATTTTATTGGTGTCCGATTCTGAGTCTTGTCACGCTTGACTTTTCTTTTCTATAAAACAAATACGTCTTTTTCCTCCCAAGAAGTTTAATTCGTTGAAAATAAAATAATAAGTACATGAAATCTGATGAAAGTTTTGTCTTCTGTTGCATTTTACATATCCCTTTATGCTAGAAATGCATAAAATCCGCTCGTTGTCCGTCTGTCTAAAATCAAGTCTCTTTGTAAAAGAAAAAGAAAAATAACCTCTCTACACTTTGAACCCAGACTATCGGGAACAAGATTCCTCGCCGAGATCGGCGATAGCCTCTTCTTCGTTTTCCTCATTCGAACGCGAAATACTACGCATTCGCCTTCGCCCCCCTTCCTTCCCTTCTCCCCGTGGTTTAGTTTTCCAGCGTGGGCAGAGAGAAACGGTTTCATTGTCGCGTAATCGGTCTGTGTCGTGTCAGTCCTTGATCGTACTCCGGCCACGCTCTCGCGTTTCCCGATTCAGAAAAAAAAAAATAGCGACTGTCTTCTGTTTTAATGCATTATCTACTGGCTGCTATGTAGTAGGTTTAGTAGAATCCAACGATCACCATCCACGGAACTATTACTGAACAGTTGAATCACAGTAGTAAATTACATTCACAGAAAATACAGTACATCTTCGATGAGTGCTCAAAGGCTTCTCGGCACTGAACATTAAATATTTCATAAACTAATGTCACTATTGGTAAACTTCATTAAAAGGTCAGCGTTATACCTGTGGACCTCTCCCTGTCAATGGTGACGAGCCTTTGAACACTTATCGAGGATTTACTGTAGCAAGAACTCTAATAGAATAACGTATCAATGTCTGACTTACCCGTGGTGTAAGAGTAAATTAATACGCTTCTCATCCATAAACATTAAAATTTCAAGCAATAGGCTTTTATTATAAATAAAAGAGGCTACCAGTCGATAAATTACGTATGAAATATTTTGTGCGTTTCCAAAATTGAAAAAGATATTCGGGGGCGGTCATGATTAAATGGGACACCCTGTATACACTAATACGATTTGTGCCATGCTAATAACTAACTACGAACGAAATCGTGACGTCTAGACACTCAACACACAAATATACCCCCACTACTACTCCCTAGTACGTCCCTTTGTCCCTACGCGGCCATGTTTTCCCTATACCGCTCGGTTCTCGTCGATTGGTCTCCGTCTCCACGGGCCCATATATAGGGGCCCGTGTGCACCGTGTCCGGCTCACAGCATCCGCAGAAGTCGTTGTGAGTGCATCGTGTGGTACCTATATATACAGCCTACATCTTGGCTTTGCTGCTCCAGGTTCGCTTTTGATTACGATATTCATCATCGGCCTCTGGTGGCCCCGCAGTGTCCATCATTCGGTAAAGGAAGTTACAAGAGAACAAACTCACGCCAGTTTCATCGATCCCCAGTGATTTTCATCCTAATCATTCTACCTACCTACATAGACTCTAGTAGGTTTACTCCAGCCTGGATCTATCTGGGGAATCTTTCTTCCGACGGACCAGGGACTTTACTTACTTGAAAGAGTAGTCCAAGTGACCTGAAGGTTGGAGCTCTAGGAAAGAATTGGACCAGCCCTTCGTACACCCTAGTAGGTCTGGACAATTTCATCGATCCCCAGTGATTTTCATCCCAATCATTCGACAGACCTACATAGACCCTAGTAGGCCTACTCCAGTCTGGATCTATCCGGAGAATCTTTTGTCCGACGGACTTCGCTCACTTGAAAGAGTAGTCCAAGTGACCTGAAGGTTGGAGCTCTATGAAAGAATGATATTATTCTGAACGAAGGGGAGGAACCGGAGGGTGGATATCAAGGAGGAGGAGGAGGAGGATCTTATTCGAACGCGATACGACATTAACCCAGTGGACCTCGAAGGATGCTCTGAATAGGCCACGTTCTCGAACCCGCGGCTCTGTGTTGTTTCGCGGATATCTATCTGTCTAACTCGACCTGGCACAGTTTCCGCGGTATAATCGACGCGCACACCCCTCCTGCCCGTCGGTTACTTATTGTGTAGATTTCTGGAGTAGCGAAACGATCGACGGATCCCTACCCTAATTTGTGGACGTTTAACCTGGGGACTATGCTAGCCTCTAACTGCTGAAACTAGCAATTCTCTCCTTTACTGGAATAGTGTGTCGGACATTTTTGTAAACAAGAACCTAACCTTTGTACCTAATTTTCCACGTACTTGTTATTTCTTTGGATCATACACGAATTCTGTGTATATTACACGGGAGTACGTCGTGGGGCAGCGATCAACTGAAAGAGGGTTTTCTTTTTCTTTTTTTTTTTTTTTTTTTTTTTTTTGTGAAGTCGTGGAGAAGCCTTTAGCGTAGATATGATGATGACGACGGTGAATGCGAATCGACGATCGTTTGTCACGTGGTGCACGCTGACGTATGTCGCGTGGATCGCGATTCTTGTCTACGGGATCGATGTTCATCACGAGGACGATCCGCTTGCAGGTATACACACGTGCACCGAGTCGGAGTTCAAGTGCACGAACGGCAGGTGTATACCGGGGACATGGCAATGCGACGAGGACAAGGACTGTTCCGATGGCTCGGACGAGGATCCAACGGTCTGCCGTGAGTACATACAATATATAAATACTTACACACGATTTACGATTTTCTCTGTGTTCTCTAGACTACGGATGTTTATGTGTTTACTGGCATATTATTAGATTTAAGTAATGATTTTAACCCTTTCAGACATGATGGTCACATTTGTGTACATGACATTTCTTACAATTTCACACAAAGCCTTGGGTACAATGTGTTGCTGACCCATGTTTTTCTTATAAATTTGAATTTATTCAATTTATTATTCAAACTTTTTTTTTAAAAATTGTGAACGGTCTACTGAATTAAAATGTGCAATGAATTATTTTTTTACTCTTTAAGGATAATTCAGGTCTGTAAGGGTTAATAAAATTTAACACTATTTGTGTGTTATTACTAACGTGGTAAAGCTCCTAGTAGAAAATTCAAAATTTTGTCTCGTTTTATTTTTGAGATATTCCTGGCTGAAATTGTGAATTTGCATAAACTTCCGCAGTCTTTATGATTTCTATTGCTTTTTGGGTTTTCGTAGGGATGTGTTTTTGTCGGTTGTTTAACCGTTTAATCCCGTTCCAATCGTAGAATTCCATTTGGAATCATTGGAAAGGGAATAAACAAATGTAGTAAATCTTTGATGAGTGTTCGAAGGCTTCTCAACGCTGACTTTTTAATTAGGTTTAGCATAGCGACAGAGCTTGGATTTCTGAAGCGAATGATATTTGTTCCACTCGCATATGGTCATTAGTTTATGAAATATTTAATGTTCAGTGCCGAGAAGACTGCGATCACTCGTCGAAGATTTACTGTAGCAAGTAACTCTTACGACTAATTTAACCCTAGATCACTACACTATCGTAAAAATTACGACCTCGAACTCGTAATTCTCAAAAATTGGAACTTTGAACGTTGTCAACATGTGTCCAGGCTGTGCTGAGTAAATACTGTCTTAATTTTTCGTAATTTTTACAACTGACCATAATACTTACAACGTAGGCTTCTATCTGAATAAAAATAATATTTTTCTAAAATATCACGTGGTTTCTTTCAATCGTGATTTTTTTTTACAAATAATTAGTGATAATGTAAGGTCACAGGATAGTATATAGTGATCTAGGGTTAAAATCGTCGAGTTATAGGAACCCTCCCTGTATACAGTGTGTCCCACAACGTGAGCATCTTCAATATCTCATTGTTTTTGAAGATACCAAAAAGATGTGAGGGGAAAGTATTATTTGGTTAGAAAGTGCAAATACTATGATAAGCAAAAATTTTTCTCAAAGGCATGCTTTTCGAAATAACAAGGTCATCGATACTTTTTTAAAATGAGACTACATATTTTTATCAGCAGTGTGTAATAGTTGAGATCAAGACCAATCCAATGACCTATAATACTGTGACCTTTATGTAACCTTAAGTAGAAAAAATCCCGAAGCGTACGAGAGTTGATTTAACACTAGAAGACTTTTGCACCTTTTATTACGATATGAAAGTGAAGAAATCAGTCGATTTCTAAATTTCTAAATTTTCAAAAGTTTTTCACGTTTATCCACCGATAGTTCTAGTGTTAAATAATAAAGTAACTACGATAGAGTGATTACTACAAAAAGGTATCGAAGTTGATGGACATCACTTTAAGCATTTATTAAAATTAATGTTCCGCAAATTAAAAACAAGCGAGACATTACTAGTGCTCACGTTCGGTGGGACACCTTGTATATACAGAGGGCGTCTCTCAATTTTCACGTGCACGCCCGAATACGAACGTCGAGAGAGCGAATTTAATTCCCGATATCCTGATTAAACGAAATATATGAGCGGGCCGAAGGAATCGTCGTCGACACAGAATGGGGTGGAGTGCCTTGTGTATTTTCCATAAAATGGCCGTAAAGTTATTCGCTCGCGGGGCACAGAGCGAGCTGGGGCTCGTAAACGGTTCGTTTGTTACGTTCAACGAGTAAATTATCTGCGCAAGGATAGGGGGTGGGGAGATCGAACCAGCGAACACAACGATTTCGTCGAGCACGAGGCGTTTCGTTTGAAACGAACCGTAGGGTTGTCCTGGTAGCGATGGGAACGAACGCGTCACGAGTATCTGATCAACACGACTTTAGTCTTGTTGTGATCCAAAATACAGAAACGGGATATATAGGGTGATCGAGTAACGAATGGACCACTGAAGTACAGCCATCCGTCGGTTGATAATCACTGTTCAACAAATTTCAACCTTTCTCCTACCTCATAACCGTCATTAGGCAGTTCCAATAGATACTCTTGAGATCAGTGAAGATTTAGTGTACATACAAGTTATACATAGTCTGTATCACAGTTTGTTATCGATACGAAAATTCAAACGCGTTACCAACTTCCCTCTAATCGTGAAAACCGCCACCATAATTCACCGTCACAGAATTTCCCGACTAGCTTAACGACATTAATTTATCGAGCAACGGTGGAATCACCGATTCGTCGCGGCCTCTGTGTCAGGTGAAACATTAAACTGGGGGTGGCCCCTCTCTCTCTCTATTCACGGATAAACCCTGTGTCCCGTGTGTCACCATGATTAGCCGTCTCGATGTTATTCTTATCGCGACGTATTGTTGTATTACAGTGGCAAATCGGTTAGGCAAAAGCGATAAACCCGGGCGAGTATGGTTATTAATAATCACACGAACCAGTCGTCCCGTTTTCGACGCAACGCCCGAGGAATTAATATTCACGCCCGTGTATTTCGCGACGTGTACGATTCGCGACCCCTCGACCCGTTTCGTAATTAATATTCAATTGTAATGAGCCACCAACCCTCCTTCCCCCTACATCCCTCGAACGTAAACGCGGGAAACAGGTGCGCTGATTACTTTCGCGTTTTGCTAATTGTACGGGGACACGAGCGTCCTGCGCCCACGTTAGGGTTATTTACGGTGAACCGATTGGTTATGCCGTGATTCTCGATAACGAATCGATTGCATCTGTGATCACGAATCGGGAGTGACGAGGAAAGTCTGAAGAGACGGGAAACTTTAATTCCAGAAAACTGAATTCCAAAAGAAACTAACTTTCAGTAGAAATTGAATTCCAAAAAACTGAATTTCAAAGAAATTAAATTCCAAAAGCAATTTAACTCCGAACAAACTGAATTTCAAAAAAAAAGCTGGCTTGTCGTGTCTGACTATTACTCGCTGATTCTACTTAGGAGAAACGAACAGAGACTTCGATCAATTCGTTCGAAATTGTTGAGAAACAGAAATTATACTACAGTATCAACGTTTATAAATATTAACCTTTTTACGTTTGCCGTAACATATACATACATGATACATACCAAATACATCTATCTTTTGCAAAGAGATTTATGCTTTCGAATGGGGTCATTGACTAATTCTACGACCTTCATAGTATATTTGTTTCCTTTTAGTATATTTTCTGATCTTTCAGTATATTTTGCTTCAGTTTTCCATGTTTTTTAACTAGGCACACCGGTAAACTGAAGTGAGCAGTAATTAATTTATCGTATTAGAAATTCATAAATTCAGGCGTTGTAGGGTTCAATGCGAGTGGAAGTAGCTAGTGATGGTCAGACAGGCGAGCTAAGTAATACAGGGTGGTGCACGAGACGTGATCGGCTTAGATTATTCTACTGCTGGCTGTCCGATCGAAAATTAGTGTCGAAATGTAACCATCAGTAGGGATGAATCGATCCAAGTAAATACAAGTAAACAATCGATACTTTCGTTTCGATACCGAGCATTTTTCAGTATCAGTACTTTCGGTGGCAATATATCCTCGGTATCGAAAAAAAAGTACTCATGTCGAATAGAGCGAGTAATCGATATATGGAAGCTAATGAATTTGAATGTGGTTGACGTTCAGGTATATTACTTTGTCAATTAAATATATCTTTATTAAAATCAGAGATGGACATACTCGTTATTTCGATAAAGAGTTACGAATAACGAATAAAAGAAAAAGTACTTCGATGCATCCGGAAAGTAATCATTCAGAAAGAATTTAAAAAAAACGTATACGTGACAGCGGCCATTAAGTACTCGAACGATGCAATAAATATTTCCGGTAGAGGTTAATCTATTGTCGTTTGTTTAAACGCGCATTAATACAGCCGGGGACTCTATTTATTATTCGTTGGTTCGAATAAATTTTTCGAAATCACATTACGATAGCTGTGATTAAAAAATGTTATTGCTGCATGGTCGATATTCAGTGTTAAAATTCTGAAAAGAATATCATACATTGTGGATACCGAATTTTGCTCCAACTTTTCCATCGAAGATTTTCGTTTGAGAAAAATTAAAAATGCTTAAAAAATGCTGAAAATGTTTTAAATTTTGTTAACACCTCACCAAAAAATGTGGTAAATTTTAAGAACAATACTAATGGTAATAAATAGTTACTGTAAAAATATAAATCCAGTCGTTGCAAAATTTCTATGAAAAATTCACATTTTCAGCATTTTTTTAGGGTTTTTTAATTTCTTCCAACTAGAATTTTCAACCGAAAAATATCGTTCCCGGTCAATTAGAAAATTTATTCGGGGGTAGCTACCGTAGGAGGGTAAACCGACTGAACGAATTTCAAATGAATTTTTCGGGATGGCAAAACGCGACGACGATCGTGTGTTCCCATGCAAAAGGCGCGATTCACCTCTCCGCGCAGATGCAAAAGGTAGGTATGTGAAAGTGCAACTTTTCGGACCGGTTTCACGCAGGTGAGGCGGATTGATGCATGAACGAAACCTACCGTTAGGATTCCGACCCTTTTGTATAGCGTGTTTCTGGCTGCTCCTGTGCCTGGTCGAATTCGGGGAGAATCTCTCTCTCGAGAGAAGATTCGTTGAACCTGTAGAAAATTCTTTCTTTGAGACCGCCATCTTGGAAAGGAATAAATTTTCCAAAGTAGCGTCCAATTGTGTTGCATCGCAAAAATTCTGTATCAATATTCAACGTACTTTCCATAACATCTTGTTCTTTTTCCCCTACAAACCTGGAATTTCCTGTCGATCGAATATAAAATAACAGTAACAACAGCAAATTACAGCTAGGCCCATTAGTTTCGCGCCGGGCGCGTAATATAGGCGTCTAATTTAGCGCAGCACATACCACTGAACGTATAATTTCTATTACGCCCATAGAGTCTCGTAACGTTAATTAAGTCCCGTATCGTGCGCAGTCGATTTCAACCGAGTTTATTTAAAAGTAACGATCCATTATCTACGGAATCGATCGAACGCCCGTTTGCATTGGACCGGCGAGAACGGGTGAACGGGGAATCCCGTTTACGTTTCCCGGAGACCATTAATGTGGACACTCTAGGTTCTAAAAATAATTTTTCACCTGAGAATCGTACGACGATTTCGACACCGAAGAGGCCGTGACAAGTGTCCGATCTATACGTATAATCAAGGCAACCGAGCTGACGCGGAATTAGAATCGCGAGAAACTTGTGACTCTCGACTGTGTCGCGACGCTTCGGTTCATCGTGGTGGTTGTTAACACTAGAACTACCAACGATAAACGCATATATTTTTCGATCGATCGATAAATATGGCAAACTTTTGAAAATTTACAAATTTATAAATTAACTTATTTCTTTAATGTCGTATCGTAATAAAAGTTACAAAAGATCTGCGAAAATGTGTTAGCAAGTAATTCGAGTTGCTTGATAGTTCTAGTGTTAAGCAGGGTCTATTATTGACGTTGTTCTGTTATCGATACGGTTGATACCGTGACCCAAATGTGTACGCGTGTGAATCAGTTTCGCAAGTTTCTATTCAACGATCGATCTTGTCTTTGCGTTAATCGAAAACAGAATCTCGTAATGATAATCGATCGTGTTCCGTCATTAGAGGCTCGACATCAACGTCGAGCATTTAGGCGGAAGGTTCTTTGTGTGTATTGATCTATTATCTATATTCGTTATTTCGACAATTGAATCAGTCACAGGCCGAAGTGAGACAAACTCCACTGTTTGAATTTTCTTTTCGTCAGTATAGGGTAGATGTACCAATTAACCTAAAAATCGTCTCAGTTTGAAATATAATATCATATAACATCTCTTTCATTAACAAAAAATAGTTTTAGACATTAAATATGAAGAATTAATTAATAATTAACTGAAATCTATGAGCAATCCCTATAACTGTCAGCTCAACAATTAAAGTAATTTTTACATACTTTAACAGTTCATTCTGTGCAATAGATATAAGCGAGAACAGTAAAAATATAGCTATTTCTTTACTACGATTTCACCATCGTTTCCTATTCACATGGTCGCGTTTCGGACGCTCAAATTGCACTTTCATTTTTCAACATCAATTTTTAAATACAAGTACATATATTTCTTTCTTTTATGTAAATCAGATTTCCAATTCAATAATAAAATTGTTGGTTCCCAATTCTTTATACGTTACATTTTTGCTACGTGAAATAAATAAAGTGACAGTACTAGGGACACTAACAGTACTTGGGTGGACAGTTTTTATATTTACCCTGTACTGCAAAAAAGAAGCTCAAAATCCTCTCTCGAGTCGCATGCATCGCGATCCAGTCGTCATTCGTTTAGCCAAACGACATTGACTCGAATGTGTGTTTACTGCGACGTCCGATCGTGTGTTATTTCTTCGAGTTGTTCATTAGCCTCTGACACTCGCGTATCAGGTCCGCCGCCATTGTTTTTCATTTTATGCAACGACCGTGTCGCGAACCCGTCGCTTCCGCCTCGCGATATCGAGTTCGCTGATGATTCAATACTGGAACTGCCGGAGTGTATAACCTCCACTGAATTAAATTGTACGATATACTGGGTGTCCCACGTAAGTATCGCTACGAAATTGTAAGATTTTCCTTGAATTTAAAAAAAAAATGTTAGACGTCTTTCATTAGGACGAATCCTGACAGATCCAACGACTATAAATGTGTTGCAAGAAACGTATAAATAATGTAGAAAAAATCAACAGAAGTTATGCAACATCGTGGTTATGTATGTATATCAAGGCGTTCGTTTCGGACACAATCGAACGTTCAAAGGTACAAACATACCGCAGCGTTGTATAACTTCTGATAACTTTTTATACGTTATTTGTGTCTTTCTTGTTATATATTTACGGTCGTTCGAATTCTTCAGTTCAGCTTTCTTCGTGAAATTTCGTGGCGAAACCTACGTGAGACACCTTGTATATTAATTAATATTTTATATATATTAGATACGATATATCAATACCATTGGGATCCGTAAACCACCGATAGAAACTGTCGCGGTGTAGACCTAACAAAATCAGTCCTTTACCGACATTTTGGGGGGGGGGGTTAATTAACGTAAAAACCACGATCACCAATCGTGGTTTTTTCGGGGGCAAATATTGTTTTTACTTCGGTCCGAAAAAATCCTTGATGAACCACCGTGTTCCGTATAACTGGACCGATCCGTGTTCCAGTTATACGCCTTCGTTTTATTTTTATTTCCCGCTAACCGTCCCTCCGATTTCCGTTTCCTTCCACAGATCGAAAAACGTCGAAAGTTATTTTTTTTTTATTTCCTTTTCCTTTCGAAAATCGGTCGAAAGTATTTCAGTAGCGTCACGGGTGGGGTGGGTGGGGGTTGATGGACCGAGTAATTAATATTAAAAGCGTACTCTCGTAAATAATGGCCGCACGATTCCCATCCATGATGATGGCGGTCGGGTCAAAGCGCCCAACCGATATCGATCTCTCCCATCCAAACGGTGGATCGTTCCGAGACACGAGAGGTTATGGAAATTGAACGCGACCCTCGATATCACTAAGGTAAATGCAATCGCGTCGACGGAAGGGGCCAGTGTTTGCAAATGCGATCGGTGAAGAGGTCAGGTAACAAGCATGAAATGTTACCGTCGTATCGTTCTGAGCTCCCTCTACTTCGTCTCCCGATTAAGAAATATCCCATTGGCCGGGAAAAGGAAAGAGGGCTTTTCGAAGACGCGGCGAAATTTGCGACCATTTCCACGTTGCACTTTTATTCAGCACTTTAATTCGAACAGTTACACAAAAATTCGAATATTTTCATCTGTCAATCTACATATATCATATTTGTCTTGCAGAATCGTTTCCCCTAACCCCCAAAAATCCATCGAACAGTAGTCTTGAATATTAAACCCTATTACTAGACTACGAATATTTATGAGAATATGAATCTTGAAGTATATACTAATTTACAGGCTTTAAGGTACGTTTTCGCGTGACAGCAAATCGTGACTTTTATGATCATGACTATGACACTGAATGTTATGACTTTTATCGTCGTGAAAACTAAATGTTGTGTTGTCGTGACATGGGTTTATATTGGCGTACAGTGTCACGACGACAAACGCGATCACTTTTACTGTCACGTGAAAACGTACCTTAACCGTTAAAGACGGTTACGGCTAAAGACAATAGAGTGGGAATATCTAAAAAGGCGGGAACACGACCAGTCTGTACTCAATATATGTATCGACCTCTTGTCACTCATTCTCAGTAGCGGTAAAGTGACGAGCAAACTCGGCTTCTTTTAGGAGCAAAAGTAACGTAGGGAAAGGGCCTTCTACCACTTGGTATTGGGAGTTACTGACATTTATGCCAAATTAATATTCGGTTTATCATTCATTTCAGTACTTGAAATAAATTTAGGAAGTGGTAGGAGACTTTTCTTCGACGTCACTTTTTCCCCTAGTGAAAGAAAAGTCTCCTACCATTTGGTAAATTTATTCCAAGTACTGAAATAAATGTTGCATTGAATGATAATTTGGTATAAATTTCAATAGTTCCCATTACCAAGTAGTAGGAGGCTGTTTCCTTAATTCGTTACTTTTTCCCCTAGTGGAAATCGAGTTTGCTCGCCGGTGTACACCACATCGATACACATTTATCGATCTCGAATTGAACTAACTCGATTCGACTCCCCGTCGATCACCGTGTCATATCGTTCGTTTCCCAAAACTCGCTACCAGATATACGCAGGTACTCGCCACTACCGATAAATCCGCCTATAAAACGAATCGTGTTCGTGGGTGGCCAGTGAATCTCGTTTATAACCAACACGTATTCCGGCGCGAGATGGGTTATATGTATATGTATACCTCGAACGGCGGGCATCCATGGTGGCGGGCTTTCTCGGCGGTCGTGGTAACGCGAGAAAATAGAGGAGAAGAACGAGAATGACGCTAAAACGATTGCGACGAAAAAGGGTCGAAACCGTGCAGCGAGATGGAGTTCGAGTGCAGCCCGGGGAAGTGCATACCGAGGAACTGGGTGTGCGACCATCAGCTCGACTGCATGGACGGTCTCGACGAGAAAAATTGTGGCAGTAAGTTTTTTAAACCGATGAAGCCCGCAGGTTTCGATATGTAGTTCAACGCACACGCCGGCGGAGGACCGTTTGCGAGGGACGAGACACACACGCACGGGATTGGAGGGGCTGAGAAAAGGCAGATAACTGCGGGACAGCGATGCCTCGGGTATTCGGGATCGAAAATTGCATCCCTTAATACCACGTTCCCATTGGAAACAGGATGGCAAGTTGGTCATTGGAAGAAAATATACTATCGGGAAAACACGTTCTGTCGCGGGAGAGGGTGTGTACTGGTAACGCATCTGTGAAGATTAAATTTCGTTCAAAAGACAATAATACAGGGTGTCCGATATAGAGGTACGATCAACAATAAAGTTATTGATAAATGCTGATGGTATCGAAATGTTATCGATATTTCGATATATCGATAATGTCTTTAAAATATTATTAAGGAGAATAGAAACGATTGAGACACTTTTGATTATAAGAAAAATTTGCGTAACACCAAGTTCACTAAACACTCGAAACATGCAAGTTGCATCTTGTCTGCATTGTAAACGGTGCTTGCACATTTATGCTAAAGTTCGTTGGAGCGTAGTTTCCGAGCTAGTACGCTGCTTTCATAATTTCACACGGAACATTCGTAACAAGTTCACGGAACATTAGTGTTCTCCGAGGAACAATCGGTTAAGAACTGCTGCACTATAAGTTTGTTTCGTTACTGAGATATAGTCCGATATTATATTGGTACATGATTTCTGTAACGGTAATAATGTGGACAAACATACCACGTATGACATTTTTTGTTCAGAATGATCCACGGAACACATGGGTAAAGTTTATTGAATATCTCACTGGACACCCTGTACATATGTATGTTTCACCTTTAACGAACGAAAGGTCACGGCACTAGGTGGCCAGCATATAGTTGCCTTAGATAGCAAAACGACCATACTGAGCAGACACGCGAATGGGTCACCTGTGTTTGTCGCTAAACATAATCAAGTATTTTTGGTTATTTGTCTAGGCATAAACGTAGAACTCGGAAGTTATATATATATTTTTTCACTCCTTGCTCATTCGTATTTTAGTATATAAATATTCGTAATAAATAAACTTTCAGACCTGAAGTAAGCAGTGGGGCTAGAATACGTAATTCTCTCGATAATTGTTAATAAAGGTCCGCTCGTTCGTTAAAGATTAAATTGTCACAGTCGTCTTTTTGCGTATCGTATTTCGTGGGGTACGAGCAGTACAACCTCTTGTGACAGAACTGTAAACGTCACCTTTCGACATCCGCTGAACCGAAATACACGTGTCCCAAAGGAAGGAAAAATCTGTTCCTGCGATGTTGGATAATTCTACCTCTCCTTCGAGATTTCTTGTTCTTTTTAATGAAATTGTCGAGTAATTTCTACTCTGAAATACACCGATCACGCGTACCCGGTCGATTCGAGCGTAGTTCCAGAGACTGTATTATTATAGAGCCATTTGCGTGACTAGAATGTCCGGAGAACGTGTTGCGGGCCCGACTTGGCGGGATTTATGGGTTTCGTTTGGAACGGCTGTTGATAATGTGTGGACCATTGCGCAAGTATCACTGGGAAGTCAAAAGCCTTACCGAGATGTGAAATAGTTTGTATTTGTTACGACAAATATAGAGTTCCTTGTTAGTTCACACTGATTTATTGTGCTGATTTTGCTTTGGGCATTAAAGATCACTCAGTACTACTTAAAAAAGAACAATAATCGCTATTAATGGAAACATTTTCTGTCATATAAATTATCTATATGTGAACTGTCAAGTGTCGCAAGATCGAGAACTACACTCGGAACGGTCGGTAATATGAGATCTACCGTATCGACTCTGGACGAACATTTTTGCGATACGAACGGAATACACCGTAGAAACGTGGAAAATTGACGTGATATTGACCTTGGGGATGCAATTCGCGCGATAAATACCTGAGGCAGCTCTCGACGAAAATAAAGCAACACAACGAATGTCGTTGTGTCACAACATTGCACGGACGGTGGGCGTAGGCCCGCCAGCCGATCTTGTCGGTGGTAAGAACTAGTGCAATCAATTGTCAATCTTGTAGGGACGAAGAATTGCACGGCGGAACAGTTCACCTGTCACTCGGGGAACGGCGAGTGCGTGGCACTCACATGGCTGTGCGACGGCAACCAGGACTGTACGGACGGCTCAGACGAGACTGAGTGCAGTAAGCTTCTGCATGCGGACACCTTAATATGCATGTTGCCTCATCTATACATAATCTCTGTACTCTTGTCAGCTTTTCTGTAATCTCCATACGCTTGTCACCCCTTCTATACAGGGTGTAAGAAAAATGTTGGAGGGCCCGGAAATGGGAGACTCGTGAAGTGATTTGAAACAAGTTTTTCCTTAGCAAAAATTTTGTCAGAGGCTTTGTTAACGAGATATTAACGAAAAACCCCGACCAATCAGAGCGCAAGAATTCGGCTGGTAGACTTGCTTACAAAAAATGTATCATTAATTGAACGTGGCCATCGAAGCGTTAAATTTCCATCTCTCTCGGGGGTAACAGAGCAATTTGATAGAGTAAACAAAATGGCGTGAAAAACAACGTGAAACTGTTGAATAATAGTTTCGCATGGTCCTTTGAGAACGTTAAATTTTACGAAATTATTTCAATAATAGCTCGACCGAAAGCTCGTTCAATCTATTTTCAATATGTTGGTTAAACTTTGGTGGCGGCGGAACCGTGAGGAAAGTTGAATTGGCCAATAACTAGTTAAATTTCACTCCTTTATCAGCGCTCTATTACACTTTCCTAATTGTGTAACAAGTTCTTCACCCTGTTAGCGGAGAGTTAATGCACGGCCAATTTAATAACGAACGCGCTTTCCGCGACTCATAAAGCCTCACAGCACTCGAATACTGCCCCTTTTTGTAACAATTACCCGCGAAAAGTGTCATTTAGAGCGCACCTAAAAAAGCAACATGCTTCCGGATTGTTACCGTTTTAATTGTAAACTTTGAGATTGCTTTTGATTTCGGAGCATCGGAGGGTCCACACGAAATCGGATACTCATTGGAGCACCATTTCGGATTTCGTTCATATTTGGATATATGTTATTGTAGTCTTTAGCAATATATAAACGTATCTCGAAGGATGTTTGAAAATTAAAAAAATTGTTGATTTTACAGCTGTTTGAAATTTAGGGTCAACCTTTTTCCAATAAATCATAACTATTGAATCAACAAACTGATCAAAATGAGCTTTATGAGTACTTACAGTGAAAACATAAAAGTACCAAATACAAATTATTTCATTTTAAAACGAAATATTTTTTAACCATTTATTTTGCAATTGTTTTCAAGAAATGCAATTTTATACTAGTAGGGTGTAATTGAAAAGTTTAAAAAAAGAAATGAGTATGTAGTCCTATTTGTCCTCGTTGTGGACAAATTTTCAAAATATCGGTCGGATGTTGCTGTGTGTGGAACGTTTGAAAAAACAAGGGTGCACACGTTTTAATCTCGACTCATAAATCCTTCTCCCTCGGCTTGGCTAGCGGGCTGGGTGAATTCGGAACGGTCGAAAAGTTGAGATTTATTGGACCGACGACACGCTCGACGAAAATGATTAAACAAAGGGGAAACTGATGGACTGTTAATATCGCGTTAGAGCTGAGCGCCTCCGTCGGTACACGGGGCTGCTTATTAGGGTGGATATTAAAAGTTAGCGTCGCGGGGGCCGTCGACGCCGCGCTAATATACAAGCGGAACAGCTGAAAATGCGCCACGCTTCCACTTCGCGTTTTTCAGGGATTAATCGGGGACACCGTGTGCTCTGCAATCGTTGCATGCCGCATGCTTCTCTCTAATTAAGCCGTTTTCATTCTTCGAAAAGTAATGCAAGTTCAATTTCGCCGTAAAATGACTCCGCTAGATGCATCTGTCGCATTTATATTCACCTGGTGCGTTTGGATTCATTTGACGCATTTGGGTTCATCTGTATTTAGATCTATTTGAGGCATTTTACAATCCATCTGATGTATTTGGATTCACCTGTGACATTCAGAGTCATCTCACGCATTTTCATGCACCTGACGCATTTGAATTCACCTGACGTATTCAGATGCTCCTAGCGCATTTAGATGCATCTGACGCATTTGACGGGTATAAATAGATCTACTGATCGATGTCTTCGTTTTGATACTGGCAATATGCATCGGTGTTCGATACAACCGTTGACAGAAATTGACAGTCGCGAAATTTCTATTTGAAAATGATATATATAAAAAATTACTTGTAAAATTGTTGAGATGAACTTTATCTGAGAATGTTCAGTCGTTCTCTTCAGTTAAAATCTTATTTTTACTTGGTATTTATTGCAAGTGATTTATAAAAAAAAAATCGATTTAACACACATTAGTTTGATCATTATTACTGTGTTTAGAAAATTGTAAATATCATTGTTTTAAAATTGAAGGTTCTCGATTAAAATGTTTCAATGGAGATCAACGGAGTCGATCCATTAAGGATGAATTTTAATCGGCACTAAGTGTTAAGATGTCATTCCCACCATTGAGGGGTCCCCCGTGGAATGACGTTCGATCACTCAGTGCTGAGAAGCCTTTGAACACTCATCGATGATTTACTGCATTAAGTGTCATAACGTAGAGTGCTTTTTCCTGTCAACTTCAAGGAATTTCGGATGTCGAGCTTTTCATATACCCGTAATATACATCTCCCTCTATACGAGCTTTTTCCCTGCGAAAACTGAAGACTAATCGCGCGAGCTGCGACGAGACGTTCGATTTTTCATCAAGTGACGTATGATTTGTTCGCCGTGTCGATTCACGAGTTATTATACATACGTCGATGCTGTTCTCGTAGTGTGTTTGCCTCTTTTGTGTTTCTTCCCTCGCTTACTCTACCGGTTTGCTGTATCCGACCCTTTAACGTATTCCATGCAATTTTCTTCACAAAGAAAAGTGAAAAAAAAAAAAAACAATGTATATAACAAATAAAAATCCTATCGTTTCATTTTAAATGAATTTAAATAATGGCAAGCCAAATAACCGTAAAGGGTCGAATGTAGCATGTATCCGATACTAGATGCAAGGAAAGATTGCCTATAAAGTGTTTTAGTTTGTAGATGCAGTAAGGCTCGGATGTTCAATGCACAAAAAATTACTTTTCACCCCGATTTAGCTAACGTGTCAAGACGATCTAATGTATTCGAGCAGTTTTTAGGTTAAATATGAACTAGCTCCCCGTTTTTGGGCATTTGAGCAGTCCCAGTAGGAGGGCACTAATCCGAGCCTTGTTGCGCATACATATTGATGTTTTTTTTTATGTGAATGATTAATCTTACGTGAATATTGTCGTATCGTAGTTGACATGTTTTGTTCGTTGCATTCCACGCAAGTGAATATTCAACGATATACAGTGTTGGCTTAGATATATGGGATTTCTTGAATTTTGGAGTTTTCTTTTGTAGCTACTAGCTTTTGCAATTATTCTGCTGAATAATAACTTAGAAAGAAAGAAAAAGCACAGAAGAATAGTGATGCAGTAAAGTAACATTAATTTATTACATATCCGTAATCGTGATTAAAGTCGGTGATTCTTTTATTCAATTCAAACATTTATATTATTACTGTTACTCCGGGACTTTGCAATAATGTTCAATATCTATGTTATTTACAATCGAATATCCATAGTTGAACTGCGAATGTCGATACAAATTTACGGTGTCCCAGATTAATATACACCTATAGGGATTATTACAGAAATCTATATTCTGTGCAATAGTAATCATTAATACAACCCATTCCATGAATAATCATACAAATACAGAGTACAAGAATATATGCACAATATAAAGCTTTCTATTCTAATCAGGATATCTACATATATGTGTACCAAAAAGTAATTCACTATGGTTACAGTAAGGGCGAAGTACAATTCAAATTTAAGATACCCTTTCGATTTCAAGTTCATTCAAAATGACATAAGGATCGTTTAGGTTTTTTTAAATAACAAATATTATTGAAGGAACAAAAATGTTCGAGTTCTTTCCAAGAAAATACAATATTGTAGGAAAAAAAATAGTGGATTATTTATTGGCACATCTACTACATATAAGGGACAAGAGCGATTATGACAAGTTACGCATAACCTTTTTCCACTCGATGATCTTTTACTCGCTTGCATCTGATTCTAATTTAACGGTAACACGAGAAAATAATAGATTATTATCGGTCCACCCTATACAAAGCCAACACTCTATACGGCGTTTCCTGTGGGAACGATCCAGCTTGTTCCAGTTCGTCGACGAACGAGCAGCTTCTTGCTGTATGTTAGACTTAACGTTACGCTGTGTCGTCGTCTTAGTAACACTAGACCGCGCTTGTCGTTGATCAAGGACCGGTTAATTGCCTCGCTTAATTACAGAACCATGCCAGCCAGACTTATTTCTTCCGGCGCGGTATCGTCTCGCGAGGGCGCAAACAAGCTCGTCTCGTATCGTTTAAATGCACGGCTTTCGCATTTTTGAAACGTGAATTACCGTACCTTAGAATTTAATTTCCAAGAAGTCAACTCGATATCCTCGACATCCCCTTTTTTACTATAATAATGATATGATCCTTGATAAACGAGTGTTAATGACGACTGTGTGCATGCCACGAATTTTTCCGTTTATGTGTATTCTCTAAAAACCAATTCGTCCTCTTATAGTAGCTGATCGCAAGAAAAATGATTAATTATCAAAATTATTGACACTATGGGTCAATATAGACCCGGGTAACGTCTTCTAAAAGAACTGAATTGTGTTTCTTCCGCATGCTGTGCATCCATGCTCAGTTGATTCGTGCCGCTTATAGCCGGCCGTTATACGATCGAACGGCACGGATCAGTTGGGCACCGTTCTTTTTTTTACCGTGATTATGTGATAGAACGTGTATACACGTTAATTGCAGATAAAAGTCACGAAACATCTCTGACGCTTTTCATTTTGTCTTTTCCCTGAAACGTGTTCCTGTTAGACAACACCTGTCGATCCGACGAGTTCACGTGCGCCAATAAGAAATGTATCCAGCAGTCTTGGGCCTGCGATGACGACGACGATTGTGAGGACGGCAGCGACGAGAAGGATTGCAAACAGGTCACCTGCGAGCCAACAGATTTCGCCTGCTCGGAGGATCATTGTATACCGGCGCGTTGGAGGTGCGACGGCGACATTGATTGTCCGGATCGTTCCGACGAAATCGGGTGCAAGGTTTGTGGGATAACAATATTGTTAAAAAAAGACAGAATTTAGTTCTGTACTGTATATAGGCAGCTTGAAATTTATAAATCGTATGATTATTTGTATTAAAAAAAATCAGGATGATCATCATGTCTCATCTGATTTTGCTAATTGATGCACTTCTTAAAACTAAACAATTTTTCACGAACAAAACTTCCACATTTCATTTAACTTTGAGTAAAATGGCAATGAGTCAGAGCCCTCTCCATGCTAAATTCTGCCGTTGTAGTCTCGGGTGGGAGAACGAATTTGTGCGCGCGAAAGTACGTGTGAAAAGGAAGTGTCTCGCGTGGCAATATGTTTAGTGGTAATATAGTAAGAGTCCACTGTACACCGACGAGCAAACTCGGCTTCCGCTAGGGGAAAAAGTGAGGTAGGTGAAAGGATCTCCTACCATTTAGTTTTGGCAATTACTGAAATTCATGCCAAATTAACATTCGGTTTAACATTTATTTCAGTACCTGAAATAAATTTTGCTAAATGGTAGGAAGCTCTTTTCTTACGCCACTTTTTCCCCTAACGGAAGCCGAGTTTGCTCGTGAGGGTACTCTGTATGTAGATTGCCGTTATACGATTTGCCAAATGAGACTACTTTCCAAAGAGTGGCTTAAAGTTACTAATATCAAGCAAGTTTCTGTCTTCAAGTGATTATGTCTTCTTTGTAGAAATTCTGTGTTGACAATTATACTGTTCAAGGTAATCTGATTACGTACAAGAAATATCATGTATCAATTCTTGTCTCATAACGAATTCAGTTGGTTGTACAAACTCAGTGACACGGTTTTGTCACCACCATTATGGCTGTCTAATTACCTTGTCTCCTGTCTCTTCTTGATACGCTCAGTGTTATTCTGAGCAATATTTATTTTCTTTATGGTCGTCAGAGTAAGCCCTTCCAATCATTTTTGACATTTTATAGCCATTGTCCAATGGCGGCCACCACAGTCATTGCAGCAAGAAGGAATTCGACTGCGGAGATGATATCACGTGCATACATCAAGACTGGATGTGCGACGGGGAGAAAGATTGTCCAAACGGCGCCGACGAATCGTCGGACCGATGTCACAATGTTACTTGCAGACGCGATCAGTTTCAGTGCGAAGACCGTCACACCTGTATATCAGGTATCCAAACAATCTTTTATCTGAACGATTGCGCGGAAAGAAAGGATATTTAATCATGAAATCATAGAAGTAAAACTTAAGTTTAATTGTAGGCCCACCATCCGAACCAGGGACGAAAGTCTGTAATTTTGACAAATGTTGAGTCGACTGTAAAATTAGCAAATATTAGGAATAGTTTATTGTCTGTTAAAGTAATATGTATGAATGGTTTTTGTCAATAAGTAATGGAATATAAAGTTCTTATTTTCGATGAAATGATTGTGGATGCGCAAGGATTATAGTAGAGAACAGCATTGTAGTGTAGATATCACTAAGTCATATGTGGTGACCTCACATACTATTATTTGTAGTAACCCTCAACGAAATCTGCTTAACTTTAAATGAGATTACTACACCGGTCCCTAAATGTAAATTAAGGCAGATTGCGGTAAGCCAAGAAACTCTCTTGCGTTCCACTCTTGCATGAATTTTTCATGAAACTAAGAGACGAAACTTACTGTCCTAACTAATAGGTTACGCAAACATATATTCTAGTTACTGGCAGAACTTTTTCGCCTGAATCTATGTACAATACATTTTTATACATAATATAATAATATTTCAGGTTATTTGTACTGCAATGGAAAAGCAGAATGCGCTGATGGCAGCGACGAGAAAAATTGTACAAGCAAAAGAATCACCTGTGATCCTGTGACTCAATTTGAATGTAGCGAGGGATCCTGCATTCCTATTTACAATGTCTGCAATAAAATTCGAGATTGCATTGGGTGGGAAGATGAAAGTGCCGAGCTCTGCGGCGTGAACGAATGTCTGAATAACAATGGCGGATGTTCCCAAATTTGCATCGATTTACCTATTGGTTTTCGATGCGACTGTAGTCCAGGGTACAGGTTAATTGATAACCGAACTTGTGATGGTATGACATGTTCTCGTAGATCAGAATAATACAGGGTGGATCAATAACTATGTCTACTTTGAATATTGCCGTTATTTGTAATAATATGAAAAAATGTTATATACAAAACTTACATGGTATAGAGGGGGGCATATTGTGACACAACCATTTTCTGCGTGGGTGAAGGCATAGAGGAGTTTTCAAGGAATTTTGAAGGAACAATATTTCATATTATTACAAATAACGGCAATATTCAAAGTGGACATAGTTATTGACCTACCCTGTATATAAAGTATGTATTTCTTCAATAACGAAATGCTATGTTTGTTGTTGTTGTTTATATTAGACATAGACGAGTGTCTACAGCCAGGTAGCTGTTCCCAATTCTGTCTGAACGAAAAGGGCACCTTCAAGTGCAGCTGTGCTGCGGGTTACCTTAAAGACCCTAGAAACCACACTCGTTGCAAAGCAGCGGAAGGCCATGCAAGCCTTCTGTTCACAAGACGGCATGACATCAGGAAAGTAGCATTAGATCGGCAAGAGATGACAGAAATAGTGAACAACACAAAAGTAGCAGCGGCGTTGGACTTTGTTTTCCGTACGGGTATGATTTTCTGGAGCGATATCAGCGAAAAGAAGATTTACAAGTACGTATTTTCTGTATCGAAATTCGACTGTTTTGTTCGGTCCTCTGTCAACTATTCCTTAAAATTTCCCGTGATTCTATAGAGCTCCTATAGACGAAGGTAACGAACGTACAGTTGTTATTGACGATGGTTTAACAACGTCGGATGGACTTGCTGTCGATTGGATATACAGTCATATATATTGGACCGACTCTGCGAAGAATACCATAGAATTAGCCAACTTCGAAGGTAATATGAGGAAGACTCTCATAAAGGACCGTATACAGGAACCTAGAGCGATAGCCCTGAACCCTTTGGAAGGCTGGATGTTCTGGACCGATTGGAGCGATGAAGCTCGTATTGAAAAAGCGGGCATGGACGGTTCCCATCGGCTGGTAGATTTTCGAAATCAATTGGATTTGTATTGAAGCTAAGAGCACGGTTTCTGACGCGTTGAACTGTTTACAGGTTATAGTGGATAATGACGTGAAATGGCCGAACGGATTAACCCTGGATTTAATAGGCAAAAAAGTTTATTGGGTGGACGCGAAATTAAATATAATTGGATCATGTAATTATGACGGTTCGGGTAGGCGGACGGTACTTTACTCGCCCGATTCGTTGAGGCATCCGTTCAGTATTACAACATTTGAAGACTATGTCTATTGGACCGATTGGGACAAGGAGACTATATTCAAGGCGAATAAATTTACCGGGAAAGAAGTTGAGGCCGTCACGTCGGTCCGAAGTCTGCAACATCCAATGGTCGTTCACGTGTACCATCCGTACAGGCAACCAGACGGAATGAACCAATGTCAGGCAGTGAATGGTCATTGCAGCCATCTGTGCTTACCGGCACCACGAATTAATTCAAGATCTCCCCTTCTTAGTTGCGCTTGCCCAGATGGCCTAACATTATTACCGGATGGTTTAATGTGTGTAGAAAAGGGTAAGTCGAATAAAGAGTTTGTATATTTAGGTGAGTGTAAAAGTTTTGATGGTTTTTCTTTATGGTCATATATATGTATAATGGCGATAGTATCATCTACGGGAAATGCATCAAAACTTTTGCACTGATCCAATAGTTCTAACAGAGTTACACGCATTGGTTTAATACGCAATGAATGATTAACGTGACATTGTTACGTCTTGCATGTCATTCGGATAATTTAATGCTTACGGTACAAATTCATAAGATACTTCAAATCGAGCATGTTCAGGAATTTACTTTCATTTTATAGTCTTACTACATTATTGACTTGCGATAAACATAATCGATGATTTTTTTTTTTTAATTCCGTTGTACGTCTATCGCTTCAATGCGTTACGTTTATTACGTTGTTACTTATATTATTTCGCATCGGTGTTGCATGAATATGGGATATTCCAGTAACCACAACTGTAGCGCCAACAACGCAAGAAAGTAGTAAGCCATTCAAGAGACTTGAACCGTTCAACGTTACCACGACGACCATTCGTAAGTATATTTGCACGATTATTGGAACAGTTACGTGTATATTCGCATAGTTTGTAGATCATAGACGTCTGGCTTTGGCTTACATTTCCAAATATAGAAATGTTTCAATAATTCATAATAATAATAATGTGGGACCTGCATCGTGTATAGTCCGAAACTTAACAACCAGGTTTTTCTATCTTCAAATACAATATATTTTGTACGAAACATTCATTTCCTAACGTCTACTAATAAGGAAGCTTCTTTAAGATTACAGCTTTGTGTATGTAACTTCGCGTTATAAAAACGAAAAGAATATTTGCTTTTAGATCCATCGCATTCGACGGATGAGGATGGAAAAAGTGGTAATGCGGCAGAGTCAACAGACGCTGGTTTAGTTGCTGGTATAGTGATAGGCGTGGCCTGCTTCGGGCTGTTGCTCCTAGCATTGGTAGCAGTATTATGCTACAGGCATTATCTTCATCGTAACGTCACGAGTATGAACTTCGATAATCCTGTGTATAGAAAAACCACAGAAGATCAGTTTAGTCTTGAGAAAAATAGGTTTCCACTCCCCACCGCTACCGTTGGAGAAGAGGTAATTACTTTGTTTGACGTATCATGCAATACATAGAATGTCATATTGTGTTTCTATATAATTTTACCGAACCCTTTGACTGCTGGCTACTCGAGAGCGAAGCGCCTTCTTTGTATGGCCGAGCTACAACAGTAATAGTTTCCACGTTAATCCCATTAAATTACTTCTTCACAGACTTTTTTTTTATTCCATATTTTTGGTTTATATATAAATACACAGGGTGTCCCAAAATAGCTTCGAATCCCGAAAATGGGGGGTTCCTGGGACGATTTGAAATAACTTTTTCCTTAGCAAACATGTTATCCGAGGCTTTGTTGACGAGATATTAGCGAAAAACCCTGACCAATCAGAGCGTGAAACGGTCGATCGCAGTTGACTACCAATCTACCAACGGTACCGCAGAAGCTCAACCGGTAGACTCGCGCTCTGATTGGTCGGGGTTTTTCGTTAATATCTCGTTAAAAAAGCCTCGAATAACATTTGTGCTAAGCAAAAAGTTGTTTCAAATCACCCCAGGAATCCCTCATTTGCAAACGTTGAAGCTATTTTGGGACATCCTGTATAATCACAAGATATTCAACTTATTGGTATCCAGCGTACAATTACCACCAAACGCCTATAGGTGCTGACAGTAGATGGTGATCGTTTTGCATCGAGCGTCAGTAGCAGTCAAGGTGTTAATTTGATATTTTGGTTTGCGTAACGATACATGTTTCAACACTTTAATTTCAATAGGCTCAGGAACCCTTAACGAGTCCTGGAACTAATGATTACGTTTAAGACTCAATCTGTCAATGAAACGGGCTTAGCAGGGCTGTTGAAATGATGTCGACCAAGTAACAAACAAAAAAAAAATCACGTGTAAAAAGCGACGAAGCGCACCAACGTCGAGCGAGCCTGTCCAGTAGTACGCGCCTGCGTTTGCCCGTCTGCCTGCCAACTCAGCTGTGATTATGTTTACTTTTTGTTCTTTGTACTGTGCCTATTCGTTTATAAATTTACGCATCTCGTCATTCAATTATATTGTATTGTACGCGCGTGCAACATTTAGATTTGCCCCGAGGCATAAAGGGAGAAATGTCTAGGTGAACTGTAATTGTTGCCAAATAAGCGTGCAAAGAGCGCTGATTTTCAAGTAGTTGAATAAGGTACCGGAAAATTCCTACTTTATAACGTTCTCTCTTCGGTTTTACATGCGTAACATGTAATATAGCACTATTTATCACACTAATGTGGGGTCACGTCGCATCTGCGTTTAAATTTATATAAATATATATATATAAATACATAGAATATTTTTATCTACATGTAAGATCTTTAACTTGTTATTGTTTCACTATTTATTCTTTAAGAGTATACGTTGTTCTCTAGGTTAATTTTCAGTTAGATACTTAGACACTGTTGCATTATTAAGATCACATGTATATAAAACGCAAGTTCAGAGTGTATCATAGAGATAATTTTTAAAATCATTAGTAACAATATTGGATTATCGAAAACCCTTTGCATAGATCTTTTCAAATCTGTTAAATTATTTATAATACGTTTTACCCGTGTATATCGTAAAATATTTTATAGTGCCAAAAAAAAAAAAAAAAAAAAAAAAAAAAAAAGATTTAATGGTATTTATAGCGGTCAGAAATTCTTTCCTGAAACCATTGTACACTTTTTTTCCCATACTGTATGTATAGACTTAAGGATAGCAATACTTATATTCGAATCCAGTAATAGTTCAAAGAATGGCGTTCAACCATGTAAATGTGTATCTCATTTTTGTACATGAAAGTAGATTTCTCCTTTTATGTCACATACGCGACACAAACAAGCAGTGTGCTGCGGGCACGTTACAAACATTATTTTTCACAAGCTGCCTGCGTTTACACAGGTGGCTCATATCATACTGAAATCACTTTTCTCACAGGTGTTTTTATTAACGTTACAATTCTAATGAAATAGTTTCGAAACCAACTAGATGTAATAAGATCAGCTCAATGACACTAAGTGTGACTGTATGTCTGTTAAAGTAAAAATGTTGTTTAGGTATTTCAACTCACTAAAATGAAGATCAGTGTATATGTATAGAATTATATTGCCTCGGGCTTAAAAGTTTTACTTATTATATACTTTATGATTATTGTATTAAATAATTCAATGTGAGACAGACGTTCTTCTAGATAAGATTACTAATACGTATAGTATGTAATATTAGGGCGAACTAAGAGCTGTGTATATTACTAAGTAGCAAAATAATTTACTTAAATGACAGTCCACTTTTTTCTTTTGTTTACAACCTTTCCAAAAATTTATATTTTTGTACAAAATTGTCCTAGTAATTTTGTTCACAATTAAAGAAAAAGAAAACAAACGTTTTACTGTGTAATGGATATTTTCAACGAATTTTACACTGATACTTTATTAAATTGAACTGCTGACAAACTTGAAAATGAAAGTTTGCTACTTTTTAATAAAGCACATGTTCTTACCTGCGAGTGCAAGAAAGCAAAGTCCAAAATTAAAATATAGAGGCTCGGTGGTGATTTTAATCAAAAGATAGCAAGAGTGTGGTGAGTATCGGTTGCAATTAATTGTGTGAGTCACAAGGCATAACTTAGCCAATCTATTCGCCAAAATCGTGTCAAACATTATTTCTATGCAATATATATTATCACTACACACGCATGATATAAATATATATTATATATATATATAATTTATTATAATGATTATTGTATAAATAAATATACAAAATAAATCACACTACCCTCATTATTATCATACCTAGTAAGAAGTGTAAAATGTATAATTTGTAAAAATGTACTTTGGAAATATAGAATAGTGATTAATTTCTTTCCCGAATTATAGATTAAATTTGGCGTGTAAATACATACTAAGCAGATATCGTAAGTTGCCCTGTATTGACAAACCCGGCAAACTGAACGACACAAGTGCAAGGGGGTACTTTGCTCAGTTGCGTGGCGCCAGCCACCCCCTACGCGCTACGGCATCATTTTGTTATTTTACTATTTCACTCAGTCTCGATGTGTCCCGTTCGCTCTCTTCGGAATCAGCTTATTTAATTGGCAACTTAGGATCTCTGTACATGTTCCCGCTATAATTTCAAGCAGCGACCATTTTCCGTTCCACAGAACGACCACGGTCGTTCGTCATTTCGGCGTGCGATTCAACTGAGACCAGCGAAGCGCTAAAGGCGGGATTCAAACGCATGCGTCTCGACGTTGCTTTCGGCTTACGTATCTTATTTATTACTTAAAATTTGTAACATTTAGGAAATGGATATTAAAGAACGAAAATTGAACTAGAGGATAAGAGGTTAGAATAACAAAGATTAAGGTGTAGAGTACCTTATATTGACGGCAGCATTTTCACTTTTCCAACTGATTCAAGTTTGCTTTCAGAATAACTCTTTTCTGAAAGTTACTGTCCGAAAGTCTGTTACACTTCGGTGAATTGGTGATCATCGCATATGAAAACAATCTTTCTACTGATGTAGACGACGGCAATGGTGTATTATATTTAAAGAATATTTTCTTTACTTCTGGGTAGTTTTCTAAAATTTTCCAATCTTTATCTATTTCTTCCAAGAAATGTAGTATCTGTAAAACAAAACTTTTTAAAATTAATAACATACGTACTGCATTATATCAACTTGAAAAAAAAATATGTATTTACCAATTAGGTAACAATTTACTGACCTGCAACGATGCTTTTGATGCGTAGTCTGTAAGTTGGTCCGTTGGATTGTCATCGAAATCAAAAAAATCTTCATGTGTTGATGATGTTGTGGGCATGGCTGTGACCGAAGAGTTGTTGTTTTTTAGTTCCTGTGTGATCGTTTTCTTGAACAGTTCCATGAGTTCGTCACGATGAAATTTTTCTATACACGGGAACCACCGGTTTTTAAATTGCGGATGTGACAATGCCGCAAGCGCAACATTATGTGCCTCTGGTGTAGTGAAATTGAAATAATTTGTAAATCTATTTTCTAAACTAACAAGGAGGCATGCACTTAAAGGCCCACAAAATGTCCACGTGTGTTCTGTTAAATTTTTCAACTTCCGTTGGAGAGACAATAGACAAGGTAGTAATATCCCGTAAAAGATATCGTTTTCTCCTTGCAAAATATCTATTGCTTTTGCTATCGGTGACGTACATCTTAAATGTTCTTTTATGTATAGGAAGTCATTTTTTCTTAATATATTTTTGATTCTCAAAACTCTTCCTATTTCAATAATTTTGTTTTCATGTTCTAATATTTGTGTTAGGGAATCATAGAAGGAATTCCACCTAGTCTCGCTAGGTCTTCTTAAGGTGTGGCCAATAATCCTCTCTATTTCTTCAGCTGATTTTGGCCTCATAGCGGCATTCCACAAAATATTGCATTTTTGCATGACTCCTGTGTGAATCACTGACAGCATGTCATTTCCGCGAATCGTTTGCATCATATCCGTCGTTACGCACAATTTTAGGGTATGTGCCGCACATCGAATGTGTCGGGGCAATACATAATCTATGAATATCCTGTTGGCATTTTCTTCTTCTTCTTCTTCTTCTGTCGATGAACCCAATGAAATGTCCTCTTCATCTTCTATTGTAATAGAAGATTCCTTTATTCCAAACAGTTTAAACGCTTTAACAACGTTACTAGCGTTATCTGTGATAGTAGCCACGATTTTGTCAGTGGTCAGGCCAAATTCTCCATGAATTGTCTTCAACATATCCGTTACCTTATCTAATGAATGGACACCCGCGAAGCGACGACATGCAAGTGCCGCTGATTTCCTCTCATACTTTGAGGAAATCCAATGTACTGTAACGGCAAAGAAACTTTTTCTTCTTGCAGACCATATATCTACCGTGGTGCAAACATATGAAACTGTCTTCAAGTCTTCTTTAATTTTATACATATTGTCTAAAAACATGTTGTTCATTAATCTTTCTACAGTGCGCCGGCTTATATTGGTCACTTTTTCCGAAAATCCTAAGTTTTGAAACATGCGGCGAAAATAAATGTCTTCCACTGATTTTAGGGGAATCATTGCACTAATCACATATTTCGTCACGTCCAATTCAAATTGATCGTCATCGGTCCTCTTCTCTTCTTTTCGAACACGTGTAAAATCTTCTACGTTTATGCTTTGTCTTCTTCTTTGCAGTTTGGCATTATATTCTTGAAATTCTGTAGGATGTTTCCGCTTTAAGTGTGAGCGAAAATTTGACGAAGAGGTCAAATGCCCCTTTATTTCTTTATTATTGGGCAAACAAATCTGGCACAAGCCAATCACACTTTTCTCCTGACGCATAGAAATTTTAAAATATTTTCCATTTAAAATAGCTGGCAATTGTTCGTTTGCCAAAACAGATCCTTCGTCGATTGCTGCATCAACTTTGCACGTATCCATTATGAGAGGTAACAATAAGAAAATATAACACAGAAAAGTTTTTAAGACTAACGGGAATCGCAAGTCAGAGTTCACTCACAACGCGAACTTCACTGAAGTCACTTAAAAACTGGCTGATTAGCATTTCTTGCCGACGATTCTTCGACGAAATTCAAACGGGGCTCACTACAGTTTTATTTGTTTTTGCGCAGTGTAGTCGTTTGGTGTCCTGCTCTTAGTAGATGGGGAATCGAATCGAGCGGCTCGAGCCAACGACTGCCTGGCCAGAGATAGGCATTATCTAGATAAAGAATTATTTAATTAATTATTTGAATAAAAGATACTTTATCTTTTATCGTTACTCCAAGCTTGAACAGAAAAGTAACTTTATCGACGAGCGTCGATTAAATAAATTTATTCAACGAGAATTATCCGACCAATAAAAGTTACTTTTTGTATTTATGGCGTTTCACTTGTATCTTTATTCGAAAACTTTGAGTAAATCTTGTTCGACGCCGTCAGCGCGTTTTTTCGAGCTGGCTGGCTGGCCAAAGGTATTTATAGATTTACTCAAAGTTTTCTGGTAAAGATACAAGTGAAAAATGAAAATATCGTCGACGCTATGAGTGAAACGCCATGAATACAAAAAGAAACTTTTACTCATCGGATAATTCTCGTTGAATAAATTTATTCAATCGACGCTCGTCGATAAAGTTACTTTTTTGTTTAAGCTTTGAGTAACGATAAAAGATAAAGTATCTTTTATTCAAATAATAATTATTTAAATAATTTTTTATTCAGATAATGCCCATCTCTGGTCTACACCTTGATCTTTGTTATTCTAACCTCTTATCCTCTAGTTCAGTTTTCGTTCTTTAACATTCATTTCCTAAATGTTACAAATTTTAAGTAATAAATGAGTCCTATTTTACTGTATACTGTAGTACATACACTGTAGACGATGCCCAATCTTCAAAAATGGTGAAAAGAAAGACACAGCAAACTATAGAGGGGTGACACTATTAGACACAGAGTATAAGATGTACACATATATTCTTGAGGTGTTCAAGCCTCGGGTTTTTGAAATTACCACCGATCGAATTTACACCCCCAAAACCTGTTCCATTGCACTTTTCAATCACGACGCCACAAGCAAATTTAATGGGAAATTGGCGCGGTTGCTGCGGTCGTAATGGAACGCAACCGACTGCAATCGACGTACAATTTCAAGCATTTCAAATCTGTTGAATCGAAAATTTACATGAAACTGGAAAAACTGTGCACGTACCATGAACGGTGCCAGTATTTACCCTTCGTGCATAAAAATTGTAAGTATTTCATAATAAACAGTGATCTTACAGAAACAGTATAAATTAAGAGTGAGAAGTGCAAATGATGCAAAAGGTTAATATTTTTAGCCGCCCAGTAATTCAAAACAAAGTACTGCCATGATTCCCCAGAAATTTGATGTTAAAGAAGCATTAACATTCAGGAGTGCATTAATTACATTAGCTAATCGAGAATTTGGAGAAGGAAAATGGAACCATGCTGTAACGAATCAAACAATCGGCACGTATCCTATTTTCATTAATTATTTCGAATTGCTCAATTGAAGTGTTCTACAATTAACTATCTACATACTGGAGATTATTTGATAATTTTTTTAATACTAATGATCAGTCACCAAGAATTTGTTAATGATTTTCCGTTCCTGATAGCAAATTACAATCGCGGACCAACAAGGCAACTCGAGTAATGTAATGTATGTAGTAATAGTTCCTTTTTGCATAGGCTCCTTGGCCATAAGCACTGATATCAAAAAACTTATTAATATACCTCCAGGTGGAAAAGTATGCATATGAACTGTTTTTATTGTTCTTGTTATTTTACTGTTGCAGATTTTGTAGAAGGTTTAATGGGTAAATATGTTTGCGGTTGTGTAACATTCGTTAAGATTCAACTACAAGATGGAACTTTTCATGAAGATCTGGGATATTGTCATGTAGAGGGATCTTTGAAAGGTTCAGCAATACATTGTGCAAGAATTGTATGTTTGTACATTAGTGTAACACATTTATGTACAGCAAGAAATGAGATTTTCATTATTACATTTAGGGTTCACTCACAGATGCCTTTCAGAATGTATTATTATGTTTTGGGGATACAATGAAAATTAAATTACAAACGCTGGTAAGAAAGTCATCTAATTTACATACACGTAATAGTCCGAAAGAAGATTTAGAATGTTCTATAACTTCTTTACAAAATGATATATTTGAACCATACGCTCAATCGACTCCTTTCCTAACTGAAAAAAATGATCCAGAGGAGAATAAGCCAGGTTTCTATAAAATTTTATATTAATGAAACTTGTGCTGAATAGTTTTTAATATTAGCTATTTTTCAGAAAGTATATCTTGCTCTAAAAATCCGTACATTGATACAAGACATATACCAATATCACAAGCAATAAGGAAATCAGAGAGTCCAACAGAAAGAAAAGAGGAAACTGTATCTGTAAAGATTTCAAATGATAAGAATGGTCAGTTACAGCCAAATAGTGCGAGCCATAAAAATGAACAAGGCAACATTCCAATGGAACAGGAACAGAAAAAAGGTAAATAAATTAATGGTCATTTTAAGAGTTAATATTGAATTAAATACAAATGATTTCAGCATTAACCGATGAAGAAATTTTACGGATGGAACGAAAACGTAAACAGATGGAAAAGCAAGCTGAATATAAGAGATTAATGAAGGAAAGAGAACAACAGAAATCGAATGAAACTAAGAAGCCTAATCCTAAATATTAAAGAAAATATAAATACATATATATATATTACATACACAAAAAAAAAATATATATATATAAATGCATTTTTAGTCACTGTCTAACTACATAAACTGTGTATATTTTTGTAAAGTTTTTAATTAAAATACATTCAATTTATTTACGGATGTTTAATACTGCGTCATTTCCATTCATTTCAACATGTGTAACGTTGAACACATGTTACATATATAATATATACTTTCTATAGGTTAAGGTTAGGAATTCTATGAAACAAGAAGAGAATGTTTTAAATATTATTGAAGAAGTATATTATCTCAAAATAGAACATTTAATTTTAGTTATTATATCATTACATTTTATAAATTCAGAGTGAATAAGTACGACAATTTAGACACATTTTTTATCATTAGAAGGAGTAGAAACATGGACCAATACTTTAAAAGTTATGAAGAACTTGATGTAAATAACATAAATATTTTATATTATGTATATTTGTAATTATGAATGTAAAATTGTCTAACGGTATTTATAGGTACACCAATTAATGTTAACTGACAAAGCTCGAACTCTTGCTTACAAGAATGCTATAATGAATTCTAAACATCTTTTTGAGAACAAAAGTGTTATGGACGTTGGCGCTGGAACAGGTGACTAATTAATTTAATTTAAATTAATCTGCATGTCTATCATTAGTAGTATTGAATTTACTATTTATTTCTAGGAATATTATCGATTTTCTGCACAAAAGCTGGCGCAAAAAAAGTTTATGCAGTAGAAGCGAGTGATTTATCTAAACTTACAGAAAAAGTCGTAATAGAGAACAAACTGAATAGGATAACAGTAATCCACAGTAAAGTAGAGGACATTGATTCAAATAATTTAGAAAAAGTTGATATTATAATTTCAGAGTGGATGGGATTTTATTTAGTCCACGAAGGAATGTTAGATTCTGTTCTCTTTGCAAGAGATCATTTTCTAAAAGAAAATGGTTTGCTGTTTCCATCTATTGCTAAACTATATGCATCGCCGTGTCAATTGCCATCCATGTATAACTTTTGGGCTGATGTTTATGGAGTCAGTATGAAGTAATAATAAATAATTTATCACTGTTATTACTTTAATTTTATTGTAACATTTAGTATTTCATATATTTATACTCTGCATTATAGATGTATTGGAGAGGAATACAGGAAAACCAAATCAATGAAGCCAGAAGTATTGTATGTAGATGAAAAGGATCTTTTAGCTGAAAGTAAACTATTGGCATGGCTGGACTTACAATGCATTGATGTGCAAGAGTTAGATCTTCTTGGAGGGGAGAATTATATTTCTGTTTGTAACAAAGATGGAAACTATCAAGGAATTTGCATCTGGTTTGATGTTGAGTTTCCAGATGGTTCAGAATTATCCACAAGCCCATTTAATGAAGCTACACATTGGAAACAAACTGCTATCGTTTTACCTACAGATATGGATGTAGTAAAAGGTGAACCCATTGCATTTAAATTAGAACTGAAGAGAAATCCGATTAAAACCAGACAGTATAACATGGAATTGGTATTCCTGGATGCATCAGAAGTAGACCACGAGGTTCCTTGTCATTGTCATATGACAAAGTGCATTGTAATGAGAACGTACATAGACGAACTAGCAAATGATAATTCTTAGAATGAGTGATACAGTACTATTTTGGTATTTGATTCCCCATACAGGTTAATAAAGTGTTGCCACCGGCCCTTTTAAGGGAAGGATTTGTATGCACTATTATTTCTCGCATTTAAATTTCAAAAATCAAATTCAACTCCAGTTCTTTTGCACTGGTAAATAGTGTAGTATAGAAAACATATGTAATCTATATTGAAAAAATATTGTATATTATTGCTCATGCCAATTTTTGCACATTCATTAAAATTTCAAAACAACACGAATGTTTTTGTCAAATTGTTCATTATTGGTCCCTGCATCAATATTCTACAGTGGCAATTATTTATAACAATAAGCTTAATTAATATTTCATAATTTATCCGCAAACTTTAAAGCCTGTTGTGCAACAACAACAAATAATTAATTCCAAAGCTGACAGATTGTTTATTAATCTGTATTATGACAATATAAATAAATATTGAATTAAGTAATAACTTTGGCGTAGGAAAATAACTGTAGAAAAATTCTGTTTTAAATATTTGACGCAAATGTTTATTGCGCGCGTGAATCACTGAATACACCGAACGCATGCATAGTATGTAAAATCCCTTCTAACCTCTGATCTGTCACGGTTCAGTTCGTTCAGTTCTGTTTCGCCCAGTTTCGGCGAAGCACGTGTAATCTGGTGATGTTTCGAACAATAGATATTTACTGATTTAAATATTTTTATTAGTTTAACGATAGACAGTTTTCAGAATTACAGTCAGAATGCCAGTAATAAATAGAGTAGTGTGAGTATATATGTAACTTCTACGTGACATTATAGTGATATTCTTGGTTATGTTTGGATCATTGTGTTTATATACATGCGAGCGACTGCAATTAAATATATTTAAATTAAACTATGAATTTTTATTACAGGAAGCCAACTACTCATAGAGGTAAACGAGCCATTATAAAAAAGGAGCCCAAGTTAATAGAAGACGCCAAAGAGACTCTATGTTTCAAAGGAAAAAATACATCTCAGATTGTCGTTGATTTTATGAAAGATCTGGTAACTTAAACAACATTAACTCTATTTGATAAGGATATACGTGGCTTCACAAATGCATATTGAAATATTTTAAGGGCTCAAAATGCAGGCATATTTTAAAATATTGCAGTGTATATCTGACACATTCTACATATACACTGTCGAGTACATGTGGGATTCTTAGGAAAGATTATTAAAGTAAAAAGAACATGTAACTTGTTTTATATTACTACTTTACATGATTATTTATCTGTTACAGTATGATCTGAAAAAACCAAATGCACACATGATGCAGAAGAAAAATGATATACTGCCATTTGAAGATGTCACACTCATTGAAAAGTTTTCTGTTAAATACAACGCACCTCTTTTTATGATTGCTTTGCACAATAAAAAACGACCTCATAATCTTGTAATGGGAAGAATGTATGAAAATACATTGCTGGATATGGTAGAGTTTGGTGTGGAAAATTATAAAGGTTTAAAGGATTTTAAAGTTCCCAAAATTTCTGAGGGGATAAAGCCTCTATTAGTATTTAACGGAGAGCTTTTTGAAAACAATCATGAACTTGATAGAATTAAGAATTTATTCGTGGATATGTTTCAAAGGGAAGTTGTCGAAAATGTTAGGTTACAGGGTCTTGAACATGTAATAAGTTTTACTGCGGTTGAAAATAAAGTTCTTTTAAGAAGTTATCGGTAAGTCAACTCCCGAATAATTTGATTAGGTATTCTATAAAATAATATATACTTAATGAAATTGTATATTTTAGAGTGTTTTTGAAAAAATCTAACTGTAGAATACCGAGGATAGAATTGGAAGAAATTGGCCCAAGAGCAGATTTAACATGCAGACGTACAAAGCTAGCTTCTCAAGATTTCTTTAAACAGGCCTGCAAGAAACCAAAGGCACTGAAGGTAATATTTTTCTTTGACTTTGTACGAATAATACTATGATTTATCCATTTGATCTGGTACGCTTAATGATAATTACAGGTGAAGAGGAAGAAGAACATTTCCAAGGACAAACTTGGAACAACCTTCGGTCGTATACATGTTGGCGCACAGAAACTTAATAGTATTCAAACACGAAAGATGAAGGGTTTGAAGAAAACAATGGCAGAGAAGAAAGCTGGTGTTAAACGAAAGAGTCCCGATAGTGGCACCAATGATGATAGTTCAAAGAAACAGAAAAATATTACTGATTCAGCTGATTGATGCAATTGAGTATAAAGTTATATGTAAATATAGTAATATTTTTATGTAAAATGTTCATTTACAATGTAAATTACTTTCGGTAAATTCAATTCAGTATTTTTTTAAACTCCATACAGTTTCAGTCTTGCTATCCTAAAAACAGAACACCAAAATTATAGTCCACTGTAAGCAAAATGTATAATTTTTTAAATAATTAATCGAGTACTGTACCTTTATAATCACTCCACACGTGGAAAGATCCGTTCGTGCTTCGTCACACGCGGTAAGTAAAACTTTATCGAAAACATTTTGTTCTGTGGCTCTCTTTCGAACTGCCCTTCTGAATTTGACAAAGTATTCAATGATATTATTATTGTTATATTCATCTGCTACTTCAAATTGTCCAATTCCAAGTTTTAACAACATTGTAGATACATAATTTGATACTACACTTATGGCAGGTATATTTTTGTTTGGAAGAGACCCCTACATTAAATAAAACAGAATGTCTTAAATAACATAGTAATACAGTATACAACAATATAGATTTTTATACTTACAGAAGGGCTGTGTAACATTTTATTTCCTGTATCAATTAGGTTCAAGATTGACTGCATTGCCTGTGCGGTATTAAAATTATTTGCTAAAGCTGTATCAACATTATTTTTCGTTTCATCTAAACACTAAAACAAAATTGTATTTTAAACATTATTGAAAATTAAGACTGTTTGAATAACAGAACATAATAATGAAGTAACTCACGCGAAGCAGCGTAACTTCGTCGACATTTCCACTAATCCATTTTCCAGCAACGTAATTATCACAATTACTAAGGAAGTGTTCAATTTTCTTTAGTAAATTTACTGCATTGTCCATTATATCGTCGGAAAAGTGAATTTCTAGAAATAATGAAACCATGTAATTAAACATGCTTAACTTAATTATTTCAAAAATTAGTCGAACATACCATTCCTATAATTTGTAAGTAAGCAAAGCATTCTGAACTGTTTTGCAGTATACTTTTCAAGAAATTTTCGTATACCGATGGTATTTTGTAAACTTTTCGACATTTTAACATTTTCTAAGGATAAATGCCCGCAGTGTATCCAGTAGTTTACCCATTGATCCACTTTGTGATAAGAACACGATTGTGCTTCTTCATTTTCATGATGTGGAAAGGCAAGATCGATTCCACCACTATGCATATCTATAGAATTTCCAAAAACTGTGCTATTTAAAATGCAAATATTTATTGACTTCACAATCATGTAATAAGATTTTTTTTGTACTTGTATGAAATTAACAATTGTGTTTTACAAAAATGTACAACCTACCTTGCAATTGTACTACATTCTATGTGCCATCCTGGCCTTCCGTTACCCCATGGGGACTCCCAATATGGTTCCCCTTCTTTAGCTGCCTTCCACAGAGTAAAATCTAACGCCGATTTTTTGTTGGGATGGCTGCTATCTGGGCTTGGAGTTGATAATTTGCCGTACATGTTATGTTTGCTTACATCAAAGTATATTGATCCTACAAATGAAAAATTATCCTTTGTAAGAAATTATTAACTATCTTAATGACTAAATGATTATTATATTAAACATCACTACCATCTTTCCCAACATACGCTTTCTCTTTGTTCACAATATTATTTATAAATTGAATAATTTGTGGTATGAAGTCAGTAACTCTACAGTACAAATGGGGTTTAGCTACATTCAACATTTTCATATCTTCGATAAATTCTTTCTCATAGTGCTGTGCTAAGTTACTGAAACTTTCACTTTTTATCTTTGACTGGTTTATTATTTTATCGTCTATGTCTGTTATACACATGGCCATTACAACGTTTATATTAAAATGGTCTGATAATATTCTTCTGATGATATCTGTTTTCACATAAGTCCTATAGAATGCAATACGTTTATTACAGATTTTTTGTTATCAATAGTGAAAGGAATTAAATGAATGACTTACGCTGCATGTCCAATATGTGCAGAATCATAGACAGTTGGACCACATACGTACCAAGTCAAATAATCTTTGTTTCTTAAAATTAACGGTACTGTACATTTTGTTATTGGATTGTACACTTCAATTTTTGTGGGATGACCAACTGGTTTTATCCACTGTGGCATTTGTTTCTGTTTTATGTCAATATGCGTAAAACGAAGGTACATTTTACGTAGTTCGTGTTTCAAACTATTTGTAGATATATTCATTTTAGATTTTTATATCGTTTAACATTAACACACACTTGTATATTAATTTATCACGTCTGTCTTGTACGGGTGGTATAACCGCTCTACTCTCATTATTCACTATTATTCTGTTAAAAGTGGATAATAATGCATAAGAAAAAGAAAACAAGAATCTACTTAAACAGTGTAATAAGTGAATCTTTTTTCTTTTTTTATGATTGGAATAAAAATGTATAAAATTTAAATAAGCTTCTATATACTATACTATGTACTCAAACCTCTTAGAGCATGTAATATAAACATATATTTTCGGCGTCACGCCGTGATACCAGTAATTACACGACACTGTTAAAATCGCATTTGTTTGCAACGGTTGACACTGTCTCTCGTCATGCGTACCACGTTTAGTTCACTTTGAATAGCTCTTCCAACGTTATGCTGACGGCTCGCGTATTGACCAAGCATTCAGTTTGAAGCTGAAAGAACGTAGATTAATCCGCTGCCATTGAAAATAATAATAAACGATCAGAACACTGTCAAAATCGCATTTAATTGCGGAATACCACTATTTTTTCGACCGGTGGCGCCACCCGTGGCGATTCGCTCAAACTGCTAGCCAAATCATACCGACAGGTGAGTGAAAATTCATAGTGATGGAAAAATGCGAATATCTCAGCAATTCAGCGTTCACAATGAACGTCATTAGTCTCAAATTGTTCCTGAGGGCTTAACGCATCGACTCAATACTGCAGAACCGCAGAATTAGTAAAATTATTTATGCCGTTATTAATGTTGACCCTTATGGAACGACAACCCTGTTTGTACAGATTTCTATCGCATTTACACAGCTAAACGGGCATGATTCTTCTTCGTTTTGCAGTAGATACAACGTTTAAAGAACGTAGATTAATACTCTCCAACGGCTGGGTACCAGCAACTACAAGAACATTGTTAAAATCACATTTATGTGCAACGGTTGACACTCTATCTCGTCATGCGTACCCCGGTTAGTTCACTTTGGACAGCTCGTACATTGTTATACGGACAGCTTTCGTTTAGCTGAAGCACTCAATTTGTAGCTGAAAGTACGTAGATTAATCCATTATTATTGATAATAACAATAAACGACCGGAACACTGTTAAAATCGCATTTAATCGCGGAGTACCACTATTTGTTTGACTGGTGGCGCCATCCGTGGTGACCCGCTGAAACTGGTAGCCATATAATTGGCTAGCAGTTTCAGCTATTCGCCACGGATGGCGCCACCGGTCAAAAAAGTCGTGGTATTCCGCGATTAAATACGATTTTAACAGTGTTCCGGTCGTTTATTGTTATTATCAATAATAATGGATTAATCTACGTACTTTCAGCTACAAATTGAGTGCTTCAGCTAAACGAAAGCTGTCCGTATAACAATGTACGAGCTGTCCAAAGTGAACTAACCGGGGTACGCATGACGAGATAGAGTGTCAACCGTTGCACATAAATGTGATTTTAACAATGTTCTTGTAGTTGCTGGTACCCAGCCGTTGGAGAGTATTAATCTACGTTCTTTAAACGTTGTATCTACTGCAAAACGAAGAAGAATCATGCCCGTTTAGCTGTGTAAATGCGATAGAAATCTGTACAAACAGGGTTGTCGCTCCATAAGGGTCAACATTAATAACGGCATAAATAATTTTACTAATTCTGCGGTTCTGCAGTATTGAGTCGATGCGTTAAGCCCTCAGGAACAATTTGAGACTAATGACGTTCATTTTGAACGCTGAATTGCTGAGATATTCGCATTTTTCCATCACTATGAATTTTCACTCACCTGTCGGTATGATTTGGCTAGCAGTTTGAGCGAATCGCCACGGGTGGCGCCACCGGTCGAAAAAATAGTGGTATTCCGCAATTAAATGCGATTTTGACAGTGTTCTGATCGTTTATTATTATTTTCAATGGCAGCGGATTAATCTACGTTCTTTCAGCTTCAAACTGAATGCTTGGTCAATACGCGAGCTGTCAGCATAACGTTGGAAGAGGTATTCAAAGTGAACTAACCGGGGTACGCATGACGAGATACAGTGTCAACCGTTGCAAATAAATTGTGATTTTAACAATGTTCTTGTAATTACGGGTTCCCAGCCGTTAGAGAGTCTTATTCTACGTTCTTTAAACCTCGAATTTAATGCGTGACGAAGAAAAATGATGCCCGGTCTCACAAGTATTGGTTTCTAACTTCGTTTATGAAAATACAAATTTCAAAACTTCTCGCGCCGCACGTCTAGGACAGTTCTGTCCTGAACTTAAGCACAAAACGTAATTAAAATCATTTAAATAAAATAATTAATATTTCATTATTTCTCATAAATACTAAGACGGTTGTTGTTGTTTAATAATTTATGATAAAATACAAGTTATTCGTTTATAAAGCTTCATTACAAGATCCACTAAATAATTTTCTATAACATTCAAAGTACTATTTTTACACTTTGAATCTCATATCGATTTCTAAAATAATCCTAGTTCGATGTAATATAGAACGTGGTTTTATGAGATAGATTCGAAGTTCACAGCCATTGGCTCGATATTGTTATCAGTTTACAGTAGTTTACCGATGATAATACCGATTGCCCAGGCCTCACCACGAGGAGGTTGCTGCGAGTGGAGGCCCATGGCAGGTAGATGGAATCACAAGTTCTAAATCTTCCCACCTTTCACAATAAACCTTATAAATAACTTAAATCTTAACTATCTAATACTATCTGCATATACATAATATATAATATTATGTATACTAAATATACATAATATACATAATATATAATATTATGTATTACATGCAGAAGTGTGTGTGAGAAATTGGGGTCATAGAACCCCGGTACTATGCGTAAGAGACCCCGTGTGTGTGAGATGTACTGTTCATACTTACTCGGGGACAACGAATTCCCGGGCGTGAGCATTGTCATTTCCTGATATTACATATGTAATTGGATACCAACACAATCGATATTTATTACAACAAATGATCTGACACAATCGAGGAAGATATTTAATTGCAATTCATTCGGTATTTCTGTATTTTTCAATATAAACGGCCCATTCTATTTGGTCTGATCACTCAGGTTCAGGTGTAGTGGGGTGAACAGTTGTTTTGATCATCGATGTATAACTTGAAGGCAATTCAAAATCGACACGAATTACGTCAAAATCGCACTCGCGGGTCAACTGTTCGTTGTTTCTAAGTATAATGGCTGTGTTCGAATGAGACACGGATCTTTTTCTCTGCCCCGTTCCGTACCAGGTACAAGCTGGTGTCGACGCTCAAAATTCTAGTTCACGCAGCCATCTGAAATGACAGAACGGAACCCCAAGACGGGTTCGTCGACGTAAAATATCCCATGAGTTTTTTCTCAGCTCCAGAGAGAGGAGCGCGAACCGTACATCCCGTCACAACGAAATTCGCTCGAATTTATCGAAGGTGCGTGCAGACCGTTCGTGGACTATAAAGGAAAAACGTTTTCGCCTATTTACAGGATAAGAAACAGCAAAAGTGATAAGGAGAAACTGAAAGGAGGAGGATAAGGAGCGTGTAAAGAAATAGAAAAAAGAATCAGTTATCTGTCATCAGTCTCGAAAGTCCAATGAAGATCCACTGGCATGGCCACGCGACTCAGCCCCCGAAATTCGGAGGTGAACGCTCTTGAGCAGCGGGGCTATCTGATTGGCAAAAAGATCGGACAGGTTATTTACCCTCAACCCTCTGTACCCCACCTGTTCGTTAACCTCTTCTTCCACTTCTATTCCCCCCCTGTTTCCTTCTTCGACTCTGTAACATTATTCCCTGTGTTTCTTTTTTAACTTCTGGCTGCCTTTGATGTGTCCCGGTGTTCTCGTTCCTTTCGTTTAACGAAAGCACGTTTATTTTTTTTTTTTTTGCGAGTCTTAGCCTGTACGTGCTACGCGGTCGTACCCCATTGGCTCGATTCTCTTCTTGTTGGACGATTAGCTTACCCTCTGCAATCTTTATAATGATCCTTCCGTGCTTATGCCTCCTTTCGATCGACACGTTTTATTTCCCGTTCTTTTCGACGACGAAATTGATCCGGCGCTGTTGGAACCTCACAAACAATTAGGGCTCGTACGCGACCGTGCACCTGGCTGAGTACGTGGACGGGACGAGCTCGAAGAAATTGCGACTAGCCTGTAAGATATTCGACAAAGAGAAGGCACCCCGTGATTTCCTGAACAAGTTCTTTCCCCGTGAACTCGAGATCCTAACAAAGATCGAGAATCCGCACATCATCCAAGTAAGAGATACTACACACGGCGTGTACACACACACACACACACACACACACAGTGATCAAAGCGGGAACGGAATCAGAAATTGTCTTTTAACAAATTTTACGAGGAGTCTACTCTACTTAGAATTAAAAAAGACGTCATCGAACACCCAAAACACTTGCAGGTGCATAGTATATTGCAACGTGGCCCGAGAGTGTTTATCTTCATGCGTTACGCCGACAACGGCGATCTACTAGACTTCGTGAAGAGGAATGGCGTCGTGCCGGAACAGCAGTCGAAGCTCTGGTTCAGGCAGATGGCCTCCGGTCTCCATTATCTCCACGGCAAGAACATCGCTCATCGTGATCTCAAGTGCGAGAACATTCTTCTCTCTAGGAAGTTCAACGTGAAGCTCGCGGACTTCGGTTTCGCGAGGTTCTGCATCGATCACGACGGCAGACGTGTCCTGAGCGAGACGTACTGCGGGTCCGCGGCGTACGCCGCACCGGAAGTGGTCTCCGGCACGCCGTACAACCCTAAACTGGCCGATGTCTGGTCCCTCGGGATTATTCTCTTCATCATGCTGAACGCGTCGATGCCGTTCGACGATTCGAATCTGAAGAAACTGCTCAAGGATCAGATGTCTCGAAACTGGATGTTTCGGTCACGGGTACGTGAAACGGTCTCCGCGCTGGCCAAGAGTATCGTCAAACATATCCTCGAGCCGGATATCACCTTGCGGCTGACGTTGGAACGTGTTCTCGGCCACGAATGGGTCCGTACTAAGAAGGAGAAGCCAGGATCCCTCTCTGGTCGGCTGGTGCATTCGGCACCGCCCATTCATCCGCAGGTGATGATCTCGATCTTTCTTATTCTCGAGTTGGTTTTTTTTAGAATTTAAGACACACACAAACGTTCAGAAGGTACTAGCAAAGACATCCACTGTGTCTCAGGTGTGCGGAGGCGGAGGAAACTTAGTTGGGGCGGGAGCCGCAGGCGGTTGCAACGTGCCTGTAGTACTGAGGGGTCTGCCATCGTTCAAGAACTCGGACAACCACAACCAGGGTACCGCCGTGAAGTCCACGGACAATCCAGGGAAGAACACGCAGCTGTCCGCCGTCGAGTGAAGAGAATTCTGGCCGACAAGGATGAACCAGCTTCGTTTGTTGATCGAACGTCGACGGTGCCCAAGGAGACTCTTGTTGAGATGTTTGTAGTTCAATTTTTTTTTCTACTTTCCTGATTATTGTCGATCTATACATGGTTTTTAATAATGCATACTTTAATAAAGAAATTCATGATCTTATCGAATTTCGCTTATTGCGTGCACACGTCGATCGGGGCGAGATCATTCGATCCTTTAATCGTACAGGTGGTTATCGTCGGGCATCGCGGCCTTACGTGCGAATAACTAACTAGTCCACGGAATAATAATAATTACGTTTATTGTACAACTAGCATCTATCAATATACAAAACTATAGTTTTCTGATTACACGTCCGGCAACGTGACATTTCATATGTAGATTAGATAATATGCAACGGTACAAGTAAATATTTTTTTTTAATACATATATAGTTTACATTAAAACAACAAATAATTTACACGATTCATATACGTATGTAGCCGCGTACAGAAGTCAATCTCGCTCGGCATAGCACCCCATGCCGTTAAAAAATACATGTATTTGCCCGAGAGAGATTGACCTGGCGGCCGTAAAAATGATCGAAAACATTCTCTAGGGGTAGGGTTCGGAGGGGGCGGGGGGAGGCAGGGTGAACGTAGCTCTAAGGGAGCATGCTTGTTGCCTATAAAACATTTAACTCGTTCATGACCTTAATCAACGGCGTTCACGTGTAGAAAAGGGCGCGGTTTACGCTCTTATCTCTCGCGGGTCGATCGTTGTGCGTGTTTCACTCGGTTACGCGATGCAACATCGTGTACTCTATTACAAGATTTTACGCGGCGGATTGCGTATTTACTGTCATGTACAAAAGTAAAGCGTTATGAACAATATTATCTCAGGGTTGGCGGTCGATCGATCGTCAACAATCATACGCCACGCGCGAACCATGAATCTGCTGGAAACGGGTCGTCGTCGTCGTCTCCTCCGGTGGTTGTATACGGACAACACGATCTCCTATTTACAAATCCTACAATAAAGCGTCTCTAAGTATAAATTTAAGTATTTCCTTTTTGTTTTTTTTACAAATGTCAGCCAACAAGTGTCGCGTCCTTTCCTCGGATCAGAATATTCTCTCTCTGTATCACTGTTCCCGGCAGTAATGGAATTGACGCTTCGTCGGGCGTTAAAATCGGTTAGAAACAGATGTTCCTTATCGCTCCTCGTTCAACCAGGTATCAAATAGTTATATATTAAACCCATCCCCCGGTCAACTTGTGGAACATCTCCTCGTTCAACGTTTGATTCGCTTCCTTCGACCGCATCGAGAGGAATATGTACCCCCCGATGAACTCGTGAACGACTTTACAGTCAGCGGACTGACACTCAAAAATGATATTCTCCTCCTCGAACTGTACCATCATGTGTTTCACTTCCCAGTTTACGTTCCACGCCTACGGAAGAAGACGGTGGTGTCAGATATAATATTCAATATAAATTTACAAATAATATTCCAATGCCTACCTTCATCGTGTTGTATCTCCAAGTCTTCAGGTGATCGCCACTGTGAAGCTCCATCCTCATCAACCTGTTATTAGCGATACCGAGCAGTTCGTCTTTACTTTTTCCAGTGAATCTGACCACGAACAGGGAGATACCATATTCTGGAAGGGATTGCCAGGCCTTTATGTAATTCAGTTTAGCCTCGACCAATGGAAGATCCTTGACGTTAGCGTGCGCTTCCAGGATCCTCTGAACCAACTGAACGAAAAAGAAAAACGGGTTTAACCAATTGAAAAATGTTAACAAAGTCTCACGATATCCCTGGCGATGCCATACCTTTCCCTTGAATTTCTTCGCGAATCTGGGCGCAACGTAGTCATCGGGAGCGATATCCAGGGCGCTCGGATTGATCGCAGGCGCTGGGGCGGGCCTCTGCAATTGCAGGAGTGCCGCGATGCTATTCACTTCGCTTTCGTAGGAGGAATCGGCGAGGGTGCGGCCCTTGGCCGCCAGTCTACACGCTGCCATCCATTTTGCGTACTGTTGTTCCTGTAGCAGGCGATCGTAATTCTATTAGTTTCACAATGGTAACCCAAGAAATGGAAATAGGTCACGATCCGGTTGAACACCACACGAGCAACGATTACTAGATAATATTCATTCCGCGACTCTAATCGAAATTAATTGCATTCCAGGGCCGGTGGTACACGGTGGTGTCGGCGTGAACGAAGGCGGAGCCCACGGGGTACACTTACGTTGTCGCATCTGATCCACATCTCGGTCATGCCTTCGGCGCTGGGCACCTCGAGTCTGATGCCGTAGCGTCCTTGCGAGAGATGGACATCGGGCGTGACCTCGCATCCACGCAGGTTGATCACGTGGGCCGGTGACTCGGTGCTGTTCGTCTCCTCGCGGGTCTTGTACAGCCTGAGCTGAAGGTCCCGACAGGTGACCCAGTAGCGTTTGAACGCCTTCAGCGTGAAACGCTTTGGCTTCAGGAAACGTAGATAGTCGCAAAGCTCGGGAACCTGGGTAATATCGCTGGGTCCGTTGCTGATGTTGCTACCCTCGAGGGTCACTTGTAGGTCCGTCAACGCTGCGTCGATATCGTCCTCGACTGGTGATGAGGCGCCATTGCTGTCGTAACTTGGCTGCGGCACGCTTGCTTGGAGATTCACTTGCACCTGTAGAACACGGAATACATACCGATCACGTCGACGTCACCCGAGAACGTAGGTACACGCTCCTTTTATCGTTATGTTCGCCTGCCACGAAGCTGGTAGGCGTGCACGATATATGTATATCGGAAAAACGACGGGTGGCGCGGAACGTTCTCTCGGAGACACACGGCGAGGAGAGATTTGCATGCGAATCGTGTCGCGTGGGAGGTTTCAGCGAATGTCTATAACCGGTAGAACGGTTGCACGGTGATTTTCTTGTACCCTTTTTTTTTTTTTTTTTTTAAATTTAAGCGAATCTTCTAGTATTAAGGTAATGGCAATCCTGTTGGAAAGAAACACTTTGCACGCACTCATCGGACGGACACATAAACGAGCACTCGGGGGTAAGATTCTTTCCTGTCGTCGTGAGTTATTTCCGTCTACCGACCGTCGATGTGTATACGGTAGATCGATCCGGTCCGCAGGCACACCGGATGTTTGGACCGTGGAAACGTTAACACCGTCGTAAACAATCGCGCGCGCAGATGGGCTGGGATCGCGTACCGGCTCGCGAATCACAGGAAACCAGCGAGGTACTTACATCACAAACGAGATATAAGAATAGACCTAACATCTTATGGGACTTGGTGTCCCACCAAAATCACGCTGTTTCGAGCGCACCTCTGCATAAAAGTGTCCGATTTCAGGAACTACCTTCGACACCGTGATAACGCAAAGCACACAGACACCCGTGACTTCATATAGTGATACATACACACTTCATTGCCTCGGTTTCGCTAGCAAGGAATGGAATACTGAAATGGTACGGGGGCTCCTGATGCCCCCGAAGCATAGGACAAAAAATTATATTGCATGTTAGGTCTATTTTTATATCTCGTCTGTGCTTACATCCACGCGATCGAGATTTGTACCTGTAGTGCGGCGAACATGAGCATCTCCTCCTCGGTGCAGTCGATCTCCTCGGCGAGCAGCTGCCATTTGGCCTGCTCGTAAATCATATTAATCCGGACGGCGTCAGTTTTCGGGTTCAGGTCGTAGAACGAGTAGAACTTGAACTTCAGCCTGAGGGTGTCGAATTCGCGGATCCCCTGCTCCATGATCGACAACGAGGAGTCCAGCCACGCGACGTTCATACGGGCCCTTTCCACCAGATTCTTCGGCCTGACCAATTTTGACCGTACCTCCGGCGAGATCGAGGTCGGACTCTGGGCCAGGGACTCGGACAACGCGCCGTTCATCGCTTCCAGGCTCATCGTGCTGTTGTTCGCGTTGAACGAGCCGGTGCTACCGAAACCGGACGAGTTGTTGTTCCTCTTCCACGTGCCGGTTTGCTGGTAGAACGAAAACAAGCTCTATGATGGACAACGTCAACGGAGCACAAGTGTATTACAGATTCCTCTCGATTATTGTCCCGAAGCCGAGTCCGTGCCGGGACAATAATCGGGTAGGGAGAAATTTAATTTAATTTAATTTAATTTAATTTAATTTAATTTAATTCATACGGGTGAGAATACATTTTTACAATATTTCATTCAAAAACGTTACGACACACTAATACAATAATAATCAAATGAGGTAAATGAGATATAACAATTATAAGAATTGAATGCTTCAGACCCTCGTAAATTCGTTTTTTACTCGAACCTCGCGCCTCGGCAACAAAATATGCGCCTGACAGGTTCCACTCGACAATAATCGCGTAGAACAAGCCAGACAATAATCGAGAGGAACCTGTATAAGTAAGTTAGTCGTTTGATGTTGCAGCGAGTTCGTGCACATGCCAGCCGAGCAATAAATACGTCTAATGACCACTACTGAAAAACGGGGACCCCTCGGTCTCTCGACGAGAGAGAAGCAAATTAGTTTTCTGAGATGAACGACTCCGTACGCGGTAATGATAGTCCGACACCGATAAATCATAGCCACGGCAATGAGGTCGATCGGTGGGGGATTATTTATTACCATAACAGGTCCTGCCTGCCTGGCTCCTCTGGTATTTCCGATCCTATCGATCGACCTAAGCACCGTGTGTATCTACCAGGATATATAGGTATGTATATACATATATATATATATATATATATGTATACAGAGGCCCGTGTACGGGATTCGTACTCACCGATACCGGCGAGCTGATCGGAGTGCTGTGATTTCTGTTGTTGGGTGTGACCGGGGCGCACATGAAAGGGTTGCTCTGGTCCAGGCTGCCCGTCGATCCCCTGGGACTCTGGCTGACCGGTATGAAGGTGTTCGTGTCCGCTGGAACGTTCCAGTGTCCGTTCTTGTGGTTGTCGATCTTCTTTTTCGCCGGGAGGTCTTTCAAATTGTATTTCAGATGGTTCGGCTCCAACGGCTTGCAGAAAGAGAGTTCCTCGGGGTGTCTGATACCTGGAAGAGTGTACAGAGACCATAGGGTTTTTGAAAAGCATCCTTGTTTGCATTTAACATTTTCCACGAAGTGCGACGGTCGGTTTTTTGATAATTCTTTTTTTTTTTGTTTTGTTCTTCGTTTACGTAACTGTTTGTTTTCCGTTCGATTTTTTCGCGTCACAAGGCAATAATATCAACGGTATGGACGGAGCTCACCGCCGTCCAGTCTATTTGCGAGCATGACACGCGGAAGGCTATCGGCGAGGTCATCTGTCTGCCACTACTTGGACGAAAAAAAAAGAAAATAAATGTAAGAATCCACGGCTTAATAATCGTTACGTCAACAGGAAAGCCACTTGCTTCGTACGGTATTTTTTAGCCTGTGTGTCTTTTCAGTTTCTGTTCGAACAGTGGAAAACAACCGAGCTGAACACGTCGGTTTATCATTTTACGTGGCGCGTCACGATGTAAGAGAAAGAAAAAAAAAACACGAAGCTCTTTCCTGCATTTGTCAGCCAGTAAAACTAGGCGATGCGATACACAGTGCCGTCATTATCGCGGTGAACCACTTCCTTGATTAAAAAGCAGCCCGTTAGGCCGCCTCGGTGAAGTTCAGGCCACGATGGGACCTACCGTGTGGCCTTCGCGTGACGGAGAATTTAACAATTTTATCTCATTAGAGGTACTAATTAACGGGCCGTCGCTGTCACGTGTCGGCTCGGCTAGTATATCCAGGAATCCCGTTCTAAAGCGTCGGCCTTGTAAATCATTTAGCGCCGTCGAATTTTTCGCGACTTCGCGGTTGTTTACACCTCTCTCGGTATCGACACTTACGTCATTTCTGATTTTATCGAATGGTTTCTTTGATCTTTGATCGTAGAACGTAGGATAGGTGACTTGCCTAATTCTTTGCAGAGATTGATCACTGCGTTGAACGTTTTTACGGAGAAGTCGACTTTGCAGTCGAGGCTACGCATATCCGGTAGCTGGACTCTGAGAGTTTTGTGCATCGGCGTGAAGTGAAGACGAGCGTCAGCGGCGACGCCATACTGATCGAGGGTGCTTCTCGTTCTGGTCAGCCAGTGGTTCCTCTCAGGCCACCAAAGAGCGTGGTCCGACCAGTCCATGGCGATGTCTGCGAACAGAAGATATAGGAACGGTTAAGAGAATCCGTTTGAAAATTGTTCGTTTCGATGGAGGACGTAGTTCCTATCTCGACGTGTCGATCAGTGGCAATTCAACGACCTCAGCGAAGATAGACACGGTCGATTGATCGACGCTCGGTGGGGGTTCATTATTTAATGCTTCTTAAAAGGAGGCAGGGACCAACCGTCAATTTATCAATGAAGATCCAACACGACGGTTCATAGACGCTACGGGCGCGCGTGTTTATTGCCTTCATCGTCGGCCCCTTTGACAGTTTCGCGACTCGTCGACGATCCCGGAAACAGAAAACACCCCCAATTTGCCGGTTACGTTCGGGGAGGGATTGACCTAGGGGGGACGGTTGTCTTCAGTTGCACAGGGACGACGATAACGGATGGCTATAAATTAGTCTATTAAAACAACAATGAGGACACATTGTCGGTGGAGTTATAGAACACGATTGGGGGGACCGAATCGAACGAGCAGAACCGACGCAAAATGGTAATAATTTATTTATTTATTTAGCTGTTATACGGGGATAAACCCAGTATGCATACATAACAATTAAATAAAAATAAAAATAAAAACACATACAGCTACAGCAGGATAGTACAATATATTAAAAAATGAATCATAAAAGATAATTTTCAATTCAACATTAACCTAAATTAACCAGTTCTTAGTGCCCTAATGTAAGAAGTTCTCAAGTATCGATCTTATCCATAAATTTATTGGCTGATTTCAGCATTTGATAAATTCGATCGCTTATTTAATTTTTACGATAGCATATAGCATATATGCCTTTTTCTAACACACCTTCAGGTAACAAAGAAATAAACAAGCTGCATAATAATATCTCGAACCTAACATTCGGCTAAGAGGCAGGCAACGCGTTGTTCCCTGGATATCCGTGGAGACACGCAGCATTCCACGATGACGCCGTGGATATTTAATTTCTCTTGCGGTCGCGAATGTACGACTTCCCACAGAAGTCTCTGACCGCAGAGAGGGCCTTAAAACCCCTATCCTCGACGGAGTCGCGACGCACCAAGAGTCGTCACACGAAGAACGTGTTTTTCTTTCCACGGGTGTATGCTAGCGGGCCCGTATATCCGGGACATGTGCGTCAGAAAATGCACGGGGACGCTTCCCTATCCGGGCCCCGTTACGTACATACATATACGTTCGATGATTTACGCGAGACAGACTCGTTGTACCACGTGTGGTTGCGTCCTGTTCGCGTTGTTATTACACGAAATCTCTCTCCGGTGACCGGGTATCGAATTTCCAAGTCGGTGGATTCCGACGAACTCCGTTTCGATTCTTTACGACGTTTCTTTAACATCCGTGGGTGGTGATCGTCGTGGAACACGTTCGAAACAGTTCCCACAGCCTAAACATTCTGGTTCGAAGCCAAATGGATTTACTCTGTTCGGATAACTCGATCGGTTGGACCACCGTAAATCGACGAGGCAACCGTAGAGCCAACTCTGCAGGTTTTTAGAACGCCAGATTCACACTAGGATATGTCTAAATTAAGGATCCTGTCCCGATTATGGAGCCTCTGTATTAAAACCATCATTAAAAAAAAGTTTTTTAACTGACACGTAATCGTTCACAAATATATAGACAAAAACATCTGTTTTTATTTAATTAAATACATTACAAGGATGCAATTTCTGCATTCAAAATAAATTCACCCATAAAGAGGAATTGTTTAGCAACAAATATTGATTTTCCGAATATGAAATTCATGTAGCAGTATTTTTTAATTAATATATGATTGCGCTGGATTGACCCTAGCGGTCAAAAGCACGATCAGATCATTATCAGTCTGAATGTAAACTATATTTCCCTCATTGGATGACGTATGAACGATAAAGACCGTTGCCGGATTTGACGTGATCTGACCGTACCGTGACCGCTAGTGTGAATCTGGCTTAATTGTCGCGAGTCACGGTGATCGTCGCGATACGCTAATTACGGGTCCCTCTCTTTCGAGGCAACTGTTGCGGAGATAAAATCGTCCGGAGGGGTGCGACACAAAAGGGCCGATGTCTTCCAGGCGAGCTCGAGCTTGAAAAGACTTCCTCGAACGTTTGTTTCTGCACGGCGAGACCCGCGACAATATCAGAGCACGCCCTCTTCTTTCTTTCTCTTGTCGCGTGGAGGGCCCACCTCCTCCTTTCTTTCCCTTCTCGCCTAGGCGCACCGAGGCTCCTGTGAACCCTGGCTTCCATCGTGAAACTTCGACAATACAACGACGAAACCTTTGAGAATCGTCGGAGCAGACTCGCCCGCGTGTACACACCAGTAGAATTCGTACACGCGTGTCTCCCAAAGTATGTACAGTAGCAAGAAAAAATATGGGACCAGAGTTCATGATTGATGGAACAGTAACTCATCATTATTAACTTTTCTTATTATTACGATGTAATAACAGTTACTGAATACTGATTCTATCTACTGGATATACAAACCATTTCCAATCAATTTCAGAGAATTACTTTTATCAAATCATTGTACAATAATATTTTCCTATTTGTTTAATTATTAGGCCTATCTCATACTTTTGGCCGGTAGTGTATACACCTTCGCGCACCCCCGTTCTCACCCCTTTTGTGTCCATTCTTTCGCACGAGCGGCCCACTCTGACCCCCCGAGTACCCTCCCGCTGGTGAGTGAGACGCACACAACCCCTTTGCGCGCAAGACGTCGACAAGGGTGTCGGCGTTGGTTTGAGGGTTTCATCCCTTCGCTCTCGAAACCGGGAAAAACCGGTCCGTTTGTGCAGGTTCGGGGGAAACACGCGCGACAAGGAGGGAAACATGAGAGAGCGAGACAAATACACACACGTGCACCGGGACACGACGATGAAAAACAAAATTTTCACAGCTGTCCCCGGGTTTCGTGTCCGCTCGATTTAACGACACCGAAAATCCGTGCTGGCTAGCTTCGACGTCGTTTAAAATGACTATTAGACCGAACACATGTCGGTTAACGGTGAAAAGGGATATTTGGAATCGGTGTGATCGTCGGGGGATGGGTTTTGAGAATTTCTCTGTCGAATACCCTGAACGGATAACATTCTGAGACTGTGTATGGTTCAATGAAAGTAGTCGGTAAATATAACTAAAGCATTCGCATGCTGAGCTCAGATATTGGCTGGCAAATATCTTTGTTCCTGTCCTGTCTAAATGGTCATATCATTGAGTTCTATTCTAAACGGAGTGCGAAGAGGTGGTCCGAGAGAGGCAGAAGATATGGAGTGATTGTAACTCGGTTTTATGCACATGCACAGATCACGGAGTAGCGTCTATACTCCTTTTACACGTGAATGTACTACAGAATGGTACATATAGAGGGGATAATAGGAAGAAAAAGGATAGGTTTCCATTTTCCTTTACTTCTCTTCTTCGCACAGGAGTTCACATGTTCCAGTTAGGATAGAACTCAATCGGTCATACCATCTCCTTTTGTTTATAGCTACTGATTCGACTCCTTGGATGAGGTACATAGGTTCATTTGTACCTGTCCCCGTAAGTACTATAAAATTGAGATTGATAACATTCGTACGATAGTGGTGTTCCAAAATCGCAACGGAGTCTAGCTGCGTTCAGAAGCCGCCTTTCTATGCGACGCAGACGTATCGCGCGACGAATTCAAAAGGACGACGCGGCGCTGTTGGTACCGTTAATGGGACGATTCTTTTTTTTTCTCCAGCTGTGACCCGACGTGCCACGCGGATATTTTACGCACCGTTACGTTACATCGGTGGGTAAAAGCAAAGCCCGTGTCTGCGGAACGCAAGAAGAGAAACAGAGGTGAGAAGAAGATCGGGGCGTTCGAAGAAGCGTGCGTGCGATTGTGTGCAGCTGCGTACTATAAATATTTCGCGAATTTTAGGAGTCACCACCGGCGGAGGCTCTCCTATCGAGAACTCGGGGGACCTTCGACGCCACCCACGCGATTTTCACCGGCGAACCGCGGAGCCGAAGGAATACATTCCTCTCTTGCTCGATTGTTCTCGAACAGACGAATTTCCGCGAGGTTCTGTGAGAAGATACCATAGAAATTTCATCCTGGCGGTTTAGACTTCGCGTTCCGTTCCCTCGGTTCGGTTCTGACACGCCACGATGTTACGACACGAGGGATACAACTGCCCACGACGCGTTTAGTATGCATTGTCTCCAGTTACGACTCCAGCGAAGCAGAAGCTCCCGGAGACGGTTCTACCATCTGCGCTGCACACGAACCACCTCTTCTGTCGACGAAGTGAAATATTCGATTAGAGTGTGTTCACTGTACGCCGGTCGCGAACTGGTAGCTTTTATGTAAACGGGGGCCGACGTTTGTTGGGTAACCGCGAGAGGATTCTTAGAATCCCCAACGGGATGAGGTAATCTTTCACTACTTTCAGATCCTTCTGGAATATCTTAATGCTACGTTCGTTGATATTTCCAAGCGGTCAACTGGGATCGACGACCGCGTCGATTTTTCCAGGATGACATTTAAGCAGCGTCGAGAGACAAGGCGCTTCCTTGTCAGGGAAGTTCAACCGCGGAAAGTGCAGCGAACGGAGCGAAGACCGTGAGGGGTCAACGAAGAGGCGGAACCGTGTCGATTCGTCGACAAGGAAATGTTCTTTGCATAACAACGAGGATCCCGATGCGAGCACGATGTACCGCTAGGAGTGGCACGGTGACACACTAACGAGCAAAACGAAGCCTCGACCACCGTCGTTTTATTGGGGAGCTCGTGACAGCGAGCGGAACGTCTTTCTTGCGATACCCTGATAACCAGTTGTGTACAAGTTTCGAACAAATTGCCAGCAATAAATGATAAAAGTTGTCTAAAATACCACAGCCATCTGTATCCGCATTTGACTTGGGGTTTGCAGGCAACGCCAGCTGACAAAATGGTAAAGCAAATTGGCAGAAATCTTGCAACATAACCTATGTCAAATCGAGGGCAAAACGGGAAC